AACTCCTTGTACTATTCTCACTTCTTTCCTATAAATCTGAACATCAAAACTACAAAATAACAGCTAAGGACCTTCACAGTTAAACAGAGAAACCGGCGGCCGCCAACGGAATGACAAGGCTGGGACCGACAGACACAGGCGCCGCTGGGAGTCGGCTTCTGCAACTCACGGAGCGCAGGCCCCGGGGAGGGAGAGCCGACTCTTGTCTTCGCGCAGCCGGAGTGCAACATTCATCCCATCCAACAAAGTCGACCGTTCAAATGCACGGCTGGGCGTGGTATGTGTGGGTCACAGGACGCTCCCGCCGCCATCCGGCACCCAGGGAGGCGCGTCAAAACCCGTGAGAACTGCTATTCAATCCAGACTCTTCTTTCTTTCTTTTTTAAGGATAAGGATGATAAAGAAAAAAAATGCAGGCGAAACCACAGGGAGATACCTCTTTGCACCAGATGATGGCTGAGGTAGGTGGACAGGGCACACTGGCAACCTTGTGCCGGCCCGAGAGGGTGCTGGAGGGCGCAGCTGCCCGCCGACCCCAACTCCCATCCTAGAGGCACATGTTCTAGAAGACCGTGTGCACACTCCCAGCCTCCCGCGCCCGAAGCAGCTCAAGTGCAGGCCCACCGCGCAGCGCAGAAACAAAGCGTCAGTCCTCGCCGGGTTCTGGCAAGACAGTGAAGTGTGAATTTCATGCTAGTGAGCGGGTCTACTTGGAAAGCACGACGCCAAGTGAGAGAACCAGAGACAGAGGGTCACGCATGTATGATTGCCTTTATATGCCATGTCCCAGACCGGCGTGTGCCGGGACAAGGGGAGGAGTAGGGAGACACTGCTAGTGGAGTTTCTTTTTGGGGCGATGAAAATATTCTGGAACTTGAATGAGCTGTTGGACTGTGACCCTGTGATGTGGTAAAGTCACTGTAAAATTAAAATTCTACCTTCCAAATGGGTCAACTTTACGGTATGTCAATTCTATCTCACTAAAGCTGTCGTTTAAGAAAAGCCCAGTAGGAGCATCCTGGTGGCTCAGTGGAGAGCATGTGACTCTCGATCTCAGGGTTGTGAGTTCGAGCCCCATTGAAGGGTAGAAGGGACTAAAAAAATAATAAAAATAAAAAGTACAATAAATAGGGGCGCCTGGGTGGCTCAATGGGTTAAGCCTCTACTTTCGGCTCGGGTCATGGTCCCAGGGTCCTGGGATCCAGCCCCACATGGGGCTCTCCACTCAGTGCGGGGAGCCTGCTTCCCCCTCTCTCTCTGCCTGTCTCTCTGCCTACTTGTGATCTCTGTCTGTCAAATAAATAAATAATCTTAAAAATAAAAAATATGTAACTAGAACGCCTGCAGAACCTGGGTCTGGAGAGCACTGGGAGGCGGTTCTGTTTGTACCGTCACCCTCTGTGCTGACTGAATGTGTTAAGCTTTTTTTCTTTTTTTTTTTTTTAAGATTTTATTTACTTGACAGAGAGCGAGAGTGCACAAGCAAGGGGAGAGGCAGAGGGGGAAGCAGGCTCCCGGCTGAGCAGGGAGCCCAATGTAGGACTCCATCCCAGGACCCTGGGATCATGACCTGAGCCGAAGGCAGACATTTCACCGACTGGGCCACCCAGGCGCCCCTATTTTTAAAGTGACCTCTACCTCCAACATAGGGCTCAAATCCATGACCCCAAGATCAAAAGTCACACACTCCGTCAGTGGCTCCGGCCGGGCACCGATATCCTGTGTTCACCCCCAGGCCAGTCTATCCCCCATCGGAGCAGCTGTCTGAGGGTAGGGATTTGTCTTGTGCTCGCTGCTGTGTCCCTGGCTCGTGAGGACGGTGCTTGCCATACGAGTAAATAAGCTTTCTTTAAACTCAAAAATAGAAAGATCAGTTGACCAGGTTTCCGGGAGGATAAATGAGATCTGCACGGAAAGCCCGGCGGTGAGGGAGGCCCAGGCCCTCCACAGCTGTTTCTCGATGTCTGCAGCCCCGACTGGAGAGCGGCGCCGAGTCTGCGTTCCCACGGTTAACTTCTATCGTAGGTGTGAGACTGCATCACGATTTCTCACTTTTGATTCCTCTGTCAGGCTCACAGCTCCCTGAAGAACCAAACGCCTCACCCCGCAGACGCGTGCGGACACACAGAGGTGAGAGGGCCCCGAAGGACGTCGGCGAAGGGCCGCCTGTTTCCTGCAGTCCGCAAGCAGAGAGGCCTGCCGCTTGTTCCAGAACGCTCGGTAACACATATCTTTGCTCAACTAACCAAGAGCCTCGGACACGCCAGCAGCTGGCCGGCTCCTCGCCGCACGGGCCATCTGAGGACAGGTCCGGCCCAGCCGCTCTGAGTCCTGCAGCCAGTCCGCCGTGCCTCCCGGGGCCGACCTCCTGCTCAACGCGCAGAGCAACTGAGACAGGCCAAGCAGATCCCGCACCCATTTCTGGGCCCAGCACTGAGCTTCTGTGTGGACCGCCGGCCATGAAGAGAGCCGGTCAGCATCCACATCCGGGCTAAGGGGCGGCCAGTCCAGCCGGGTGGCTCTGAGGGGCACTGGCCAATGGCAGTTCAGCGTCTGAGCAAAAAATGTGCGGGAGAAAAACATGTAAAACCCCCAAGTTTTATTTCATCTTTCACTCATTTAACTGGTATTTTGCGGGATGAAGAGTGCTGGCCGTTGCAGGGACACCTGGCACTGTCCGTTCGGTGACCAATTCCCCAGCTTGCCTTATCACGGGTGCCATCTCTGCACACAGCACCCCCTTCCCCTCTCAGGAGCATCCCTGTATAGACAGTTACAGGCTCCTCCAAATCTTGGAAGTAAAACGAGGTTTCCTGGGGCGCCTGGGTGGCTCACTGGTTGGGCGTCTGCCTTCGGCTCACGTCATGCTCCCAGGGTCCTGGGATGGAGCCCCACACTGGGCTCCCTGATCAGCGGGGAGCCTGCTTCTCCCTCTGCCACTACCCCTGCTTGCGTTCCTTCTCCTGCTGTCAAATAAATAAAATCTTAAAAAAAAGTAAAATGAGGTTCTCCGTCCCACACATGAAGAAGTCAAGGCTCAAAGCAATCGAGGCTGCTCCCAGCCTGTGCGGACACACGCAGCACCCGCCCCCTCGGACTCGCCAAATTTCAGGGTCTTCTTATTCACTCACCCTTCCCCACCCCACTGTCTCCCCAGCTCCTGCAATGTCATCCCCTCCAGTTTCTCCTGTCACCTTCCTGGGTCACACCACTGGCCACTGCTTTGCTAGTGTCTGCCTGTCACCAGCTGCTAAACTGGCAACGTCCAGCTCCCAACGCTCGTGGGACGCGGGTCGGCGTCTCTCCTGCCTCCTAGATCCCGCCCTGAGCGCCGCCCCTTCCCCTACTTTCCTCTTGTGCCTTTCTCTCCACACACAGCACCTTCAGTCACGGCTCCGGTGCCTCTGAGCCACCACCCCCTGCCTCCCTATCCCAGTGGCCAGCAGCAGCAGCACCTGTGGCCTCTGGCCCAGGCCACTTTCCCCCTCCAGCAGGGGGCCCACCACCTCTCCGACAGCCTGACAGCTGTCTCCCTACCCAGCACGGGGCTGCTCCGCGGACACACCTCCCAGGGCCCTGCTGTGCCTGGGTCACGTGACCTCGATCCCATCCCGCCCTCGTGGCCACAGCAGCCAAGGTCAGGCACGTGCCAATCCCTCCCTATGACACTGGGCTCCTCCGCGGCTGAGCAGGGTCGTTGTCAGTCGCCTTTCCGTCCAGTGCCTGGTATGGGCAGGCCGTTCAAGTGGCAGCTGCTGGCTCCGTAGCAACAGCGCCAGGACTGGCAGTTCAAGGCACCACGGCCAACGTGCACGTCAACCCCGGAGCCGACTGAGCTACAGGGCGCACCCTGGCCGGTCCTTCCACTGCCACACCATCCCTCCCTGCCACGCAGCTCTGCGCTCCGCAGCCCCCTGCCTCCCCGGGGCTCTCCTCTCCGTGGAGGCCACTGCCCTCCAAGCGCCTGCTGCACCCGGAACTGTGCTCGGGGGCCGCAGAGCGGGGGCCCTTAGGTCTCACTGGCTTCCAGACACAACTGCGCCCTGGGCACCGCCTCCAGAGAGGGCGGGGAACCCTGAGGACCGCAGCGTGGTCTCCCTACCCGGCCTCCCAGGACGGGGATCTCAGCCTCTTCCGAGCAGCATGGCCGGGCACGGGAGCAGAGGCAAGTGGCCAAGCGACATCGCCGGCCTGCTCTCTTCTGTCCCAGAGGGGGTGCAGGTGGGGCACCTGCCGGCCCTCCCTTCCAGATCTGTGTGCGTCAAACTCGCCTCTGCCACAGCCCCCCTAGCGTTTCACCCAGGACACAATTAAGGGCGCACTTTCTGGCTTGCTCCTGCTTTGATGTGAGAGAAAAACAGCGAAGGGTTATGGTGCAAAGTCAGAACAGCTGATCCATGCTTCTGACAAGCAGAACTCCAGGAGGAGGGGCACAGCCTGGCCTGGTCATGTGAAGTCTGGCAACAACATGGCGTCCCTGGGCCCCTCACGTCACACTGCAGGCAGTGGTGGTGGCTGTTCCCACGTCCTCCCGCCCACCCGATGGGAAAGGACGGAGCTAGGGCCGCAGAGCAGAGACGGGAAGCAGCAGTCGCCCTCCGGGAGCACTGACTCCCGGGGCCTGACGGGGCTGCTCCCTGCGTGCTCAGTCAGGCCCAAGGAAGGACTGCGACGGGGACGAGTCACATGGCTCCAGTTCCACACACATCTCTGTTTTATTATGGCAAAGGTGAAAACACCACCTTCCCACAACGCCAACCGGTAACATTTATCCCAAAAATAACTCAGTACAAAACACGGCTGTTTCAGATTTAAAAAACAAAAACAAAAACAAAAAAACAGAAAAACCCAAAACAAAACAAAACAAAAAAAGGAAAGAAAAAAAACAAAAAACAAAAACCTTTACATGAGTTTTTAAATCCTATTTTAAAACATAAAAGAAACAAATCCATCATTGGCCGCATAGCCCCAGTCCACCGCCCCCTCCCAGCCAGGGACACGGAGACGTCTGGGTCCTGCTCCACGCCAGGATCTGCCGTGCTTTAGCTGGTGTCCATCTGAAACACACGCAAGTGCTCGCTCAGCGGCCGCCCCCTGCCCCCCGCACCACCCCCCACCCCCGGCCCAGGACTTACTCTCGCATTATAAGCGTCCAGCTGGGCGTCCAGCTCCTCTGCAGAAAGCTGCTGCTTTGAACTCCGGCCAGTGCCTCTGCCCCTGCCCCGGCTTCCTCCGCGGGTGCCTCTCCGGGTGCCGCCGCCGCCACCAAAACCCCCAGAGCCGCGGTTTCTGGTCATCCCGCCTCTGTTCACACTAGCGAGGAAGAGGGAATCACTCTCCGGACGCGGAAAGGCCTGCGGGCCCACGCGGCGCCCCGGCCCTGGCGCTCACCTCTGTGCGGGTCTCCGCTGCGTGTCAATCTGTGACGTGACCAGCTGGATGTTCATGGGGCGGCCTGCGGCAGAGAATACAAGAGGCGCCCCGGTTAGAGGGCCCTGAGACGCGCCGACGGGCGCCACGGCCTGGTCTCCATGCAAGCACCGGCAAGGGGCTGTGTGTGTCTCCGGTGTTCCTGACAAGGGGAGCGGCCGAGCGATACTGGCGGGAGAACGAGGGGCTGCCAGGGACAACCCCACCAAGAACCGCCTCCTCGCTCCTTCTCAGTCCAGGTGACGTGGGTGTCTGGTCAGGTGTCCGGGGCGCTCGTGGGTGGAAAGGTGTGGGTGGCCTGACGGAAGAAGAACCGGTACCTTTGTCTTTACGACTACAGCCCCGCACTCGGAGCCGTACTATGGCGGTTCTGAGAAGGCTTCACAGAAGTGAGTCTTCCGGAAGGAGCTGAAGGAGGGGAGGGATGTAGCTCGCTGGATGGGGGTTCACAAGAGGTTGGTCCCGATGTGTGGGGCAGCATGAGAGGTGGCAGAATGGAAGAGAGAGACAAAGGGGCGAATGCAAAGTGTCCTCGGCCACAGGGGGAAGGCATACTCCTGCACGGACAGCTGCCAGCCCCAGACCGCACAAACGAGACGCAGCCCTGCCATCATCCTGGGTCCAACCGCAGACGCACCATCCAGGGGGACCCCGTTGTATTGCTTCATAGCTTTCAGGGCGTCTGCCTTCCGTTCAAAGTGCACGTCGGCGGTTCCTAAACTGCGCCCGGAGCGGTCATAGTGGACAGCCGCCTTCTTCAGGGTCCCGAATTCAGCGAAGAGCTCCTGGAGGCCGGGAAAAGCAGCTGTCAGCCAAGTGGCTTCCCTTCAGGTGGCCCAGGGCACTCCCCGGGCATGTGAGCTGCTCTGGGGTCATTTCCCTGGGTGGCAGACACGTGGGGGGGCAGGGCAGTGGTAGGGGAAGGGAGGGGCAGACGGGACAGCAACTTCCCGGAGCAGCTGGGCCTGAGGGCTCCTGCCAGCACGGGGACCTTACATCTGTCCCAGGATGCAGGTAAAGGACCACAGAGCCCACCAGTGAAGGGAACAAGATTAAGTCGCTATCTTCTTCAACAGAGGAAAACTGACAACACACCCAAGGACTGTGCCAAGAAACAGCAAAGGCCAAGATCACAGAGCAAGGGATGCTATCCGACATGTGGACATGTGGACCAGCTCACAGGGCCGGTTGATTCGGGAGCCCTGACCCAGCCCCTCCCCCAGGGCAGATTCTGGCTCACCTTTCCCTCTCCTCCTACTCAAGCCTGCCGCAAAGGCTGAAGTCAAGCGTTGCCATGGAAACTGCCCTGACCTCAGGCAGGCTGGGAGTTGGAGAGGGAACCCAGAGTGTGGGGCTACTCCGGCCGCAGGCACACAGCGGGAAGTGGAGTTCACCAAAAGCGGTTTCCAGTGGATGCCAGAAACCACCTTAAAAAAAGTGTTGAGACACCGTGAGTGCTCACCGGCCTTGCTCTGTCCTCCCACGGTAGTCAAACAAACAGCTGGGCTCCGGGAAACTGAACCCAGGAAGGCCCAGCACCCTGACCCAGCCATCTCTGGGACTGATCCCCAAGATGTCTTTACTTAATCAGAAAACAAGTAAATATGCCTTTAAAATCTACATGCCTTTGAAATTCAAACAAAAAACTCAAAGAACAAAAATAAAAAGTCCCCCAAAAAACAGAAAACAAAACAAAACAACAAAAAAAGAAAACAAAGAAAAGAAGAAGCTTCAAGCAAAGCTGAGTCTGAGAATCATGCCACTGAAAAGACCAGGGGAAGAACAAGGCCCAAGTCCCATAAGACCCGAGCTGGGGCTCGAGGCACAGCGAGCCCCCTTCTGCGCTCTGCACACTGACTTCCACAGAAGATCCTTCTCCTCCCAACGACATTAGAACCAGGAGGAAATAAACAAAACGGACGCCCTAGGTGCGGCCCGACCCAGTGAAGGCGCCCACTAGGCTGGTCTTCCCCGCTGGGAACTGACCGCCCCGGCAGAGCGTCTTCGTGTGCAGGCGCATCCGCGGAGCAGCCGCTCCCCACGTTCAGCTGGGGCCGGCCTCCCCACACGCTGAGCTGCATGGCGGACTGGCACCTGCGGCCCAGCCTCTGCTCCGCACTCCTGCACCCCTCAGAGGGGCCGGGGCTAGCCCTGCGGCCCCGAAGGGCTCACTGTCCTCAGCCGGGCACATCCCAAACAGGACCAATTCGGCGAGGGCAACTGCTCACCGCGACACTCCCGCCCCTCACCTGAATGTCAGCGTCGGACACTCCGAAATCCAGGTTGGACACCAGCAGTTTCCCCCCAGTCTCGACGCCTGCGCCGCCCCCGAAGCCGCTGTCGAACAGGTCATGCTGCCACTTGTCCGGAAGCTGTTTCGGCTGGAGGAGAGACGCGAGAACACACACCGACCGTGAGCGTCTCTCCGGGGCTCTCGCCCTCCCGGGCAGGGCGGCGCACGGTCCGCGCGGAGACCCGCAGCTCGCCCCTTCCCGCCCACGCCGCGGCAGGCCGCCGCCGACCCGGAGGGACCCCACGCTCCCGCGGCTCCGCGGCCCCCTTCGACCAACTTCCCGCCGCCCGCGCGGCCGCGCCCAGCGTCCGCTCGGCCGCCGCCGCCACGAGGCCCGGCGCCCAGCCGAGACAAAGGCCGGAGGATCTCCGCCTCCCGGGCCCGGGCCCGCGCGACCTCCGCGCCCGGCCGGCGCGCGCGCCCACCGGCCCGACGCGGCCTGCCGTGCTCCCCGCCGCGCGCCGCCCGACCGGCCCGCTCCCTGCCGCGGGCCGCCGCCGCCTCACTCACCCTGCTGTAGGGCGCCGGCCGGTTCCTGCCGCCGCCGCCTGCCGCGCCGCGGGCGATGGCCGGCCGGTTCCGGATGGGCCCGCCGCCTCGGTTCACTCGCGCGGCGGCCTGCGCCCCGCCGCCACGGCCGCCCTGGGAACCGGCCCTGCCGCGGCCCCGGCCTCCGCCGCGGCCACCTCGCTGGCTCCGGTTCAGCTTAATGATGTCGTCCAAAGACATGTCCATTTTGTCGGCCATGGCGGGCGCGGAATCGGCCTTGGCTCGAGCCCGCGCGTCAGCACGCCGGCGCGTCACTTCCGGGGCCGCGCGGTGTCTTCCGGTGCCGAGGCCTTGGAGAGGCCGGAGATTGGCTGTGAGTGCACGGCGGGGGCGGGGCGGCGCGTGCGCGCTAGGGAGCTAGTTCGGCGGGCGCTCTGGAAGGAGCCGGGTAGTGGCCGCGGTCGTTTTTATACCTTCCCGCGCGGGCGCTGCCAACGGAAGGCGGGCGGGGCAGCGCGCGGTCAGGCCGGCGGAGGTGCGAGAGCGCGGGGCGGAGCGCGGCCGTTGGGGCGGGACTGGCGCGCCGCCCCTCCCCCGCCTTTTCCCGCCCGCGCCTTGAACCCGCACTTCTCCCCCGCGCCCCACCCTTTCCCAGAGACGGAGTGCGCGCCCCGCCCCGCCGCGTTTCCCCGCGCTCCCGCGACCCTCCTTCCTCGCACTTCACCCTCTCCCCGCGCCCTGGTCCCGCCCTGCACCCCACTCTTCCGCGCTCTTGTCTGGCGGTGGCGGCGGCGGCGGCGGCTCCCCGACCAAAGTCCTTGCTGACCAGGGCCGCAGGCCGAGCGGGCTGGGTGGGTCCCCCCAGGTGGTCAGGTGGGTCGGGGTCTCCCTGTGCCCCCTGACCCGGCTGCACCCCTCCGAAAAGCACCGTGCGGTCCATCTCTGCAGGCACTGGTGGGAGCCCGCGCTGCGCTTCGTGGACGCCGCGCAGGCCGTGCCGTCCGTGTAGAGAACCCTGCGGGTGTGGGGAGCCTCGCTCGCCCTCCCAGGGGCGCCCGGGCCCTGCCCCCGCCGTCCTCGCGGACGAATTTGTGCTGGTCGGTCTGGGTTTCTCAGAGCTCTGGCCGCCGTTCCAGCCCCGTGCTGACCGTGGGGTTGGGTGACCCTCGGGCTCAGAGTTGCGCCCCTTTGGTACCTAGATGCTGTAGTTGTGCAGACTGAGGTGCCGGGTGATCTCTTTCCCTCTGCCTCTAGGCTCCGCGGCCATGAAGGTGAAGATTAAGTGCTGGAACGGCGTGGCCACTTGGCTCTGGGTGGCCAACGACGAGAACTGTGGCATCTGCCGGATGGCCTTTAATGGCTGCTGCCCGGACTGTGAGTGTCCCCTGAATTCCCTCCCTCTTGAGCTTTGCCTGCTGGCCTGGCCATGACCTCTCTCCAGAAATACCCGCACGAAGTGCCTGGGTTTTGGTGTCCCTTTCCTCAAGGAAAGTTGACAGAAGGGAGCCAGGTGGTTTGGGCCCCTGTTTGTAGAAAGAGCCCATGAGCAGTTTTGTAAGAAAAGTGGTGTCGCCATGTACTGTGGTCAGACTCGCCTGTGAAGTCTGAGGGGGAGAAAGACGTGTTAGAACTCTGTGTCTGAAGATTCTCAAGCGAACAAAACCCGGAATGTTGTAGGGGCACCGCTCCCTTGCCCAGCACACAGGATCACGGTGGGTAAGGGACCTTTCCGCCTCTGCTTCGTGGTTCCGTGACGATAACTAGGATGCCTGGTACCGCGTCCGCCGAGTCTCTAAAAGGAACTGAAGCTTTTTACAGGCTGTCCCATCACATCAGACAGGACTGATGATGAGTCCTTAGGGTCTCCCCCATTCCTAGTCCTTGCTTGGACTTGCCCAGGTGTCCACAGGTGTCCCTTCACTGCATGGTGTAAGCAGGATCCACAGGTGCTTGCTCTGCTCTGCCCTGGGTGTTAGTGTTAACATAGAACAGGCCCTTCCACCCCCACTCAGCTTTTTCAAGGCATCTGACCTTTTAGCAAAGTTGTCTTGTCTCACAGAGTGCCCCCCACCAGGTTTTATCAGATTTCTTCTTTGTGCTGGTGTTTTTTATTTTTTTTTTTTTATTTTTTTTTAAATTTTATTTATTTATTTGACAGTGAGAGATCACAAGTAGAGAGGCAGGCAGAGAGAGAGGGGGAAGCAGGCTCCCTGCTGAGCAGAGAGAACCCGATGCGGGGCTCGATCCCAGGACCCTGAGACCATGACCTGAGCCGAAGGCAGAGGCTTAACCCACTGAGCCCCCCAGGCGCCCCTTTGTGCTGGTTTTTGATTCATTTTTGTTCCCATTATGTTCTGTGAAGTAGAAACGCTTTGAATATATTTCTAAGTCGAGAACCAGTTTTTGCACCAGTGCATTTTGGTTTTAGCCAAACCCAAGTGAACTTAAACAGAAGCAAGTTGACCCTTAGGGGCCAAGGGCAGTCCCAAGAGGAAAACAGGACATTGGAATACTAAAGGGTTCCTGTCCCATGAATGACCAGGCCTTTTGTGTGGGGTTAGGTGAGTGGCCAGAATAATAATAGTGCTTTACTTCTTACAGTGAAATTCAGGCCATTGGATTTTTTTTTTTTTAAGGTTTTATTCATTTATTTGACAGACAGAGATCACAAGTAGGCAGAGAGGCAGACAGAGAGGCGGAGGCAGGCTCCCCGCTGAGCAGAGATCAGAACCCTGATCTCAGAACCCTGAGATCATGACCTGAGCCGAAGGCAGAGGCTTAACCCTCTGAGCCACCCAGGCGCCCCTGCAAATACTATTTCATATTTTAAGATTTAAAAGATTTTCATCTTTTAAGATTTACTATTTATTTATTTATTTGACAGTGACAACAAGCAGGGGCGGCAGCTGAGGGAGAGGGAGAAGCAGACTCTCTGAGGAGCGGGGAGCCTGATGTGGGGCCTGATCCCAGGACCTGGAGATGATGACCTGAGCCGAAGGCAGACGCTTAACCCCACTGAGCCAGCCAGGCGCCGCGTGCATGTTCTTTAATCTTTACATTTGCTTTGGCTGAAAGGAAATCTCATCTCCCAGGACTTAATCTGTCCGGATTGACTCCGAGGGGTGGGATGCGAGCTGAGGAGATCACTGGCTGCTTCTGGTTGATGAGGTTTGCTTCACCATAACGTTCAAGATGTGGTTGTAGTGAATCTACTTCAGATCACTCTTAAATGCGTCACGAGGGGCACAGCAAAGGCCGTGGGAGTCTGGGGGGCACATACGTGCAGCTTCCTGAGCAACAGACTTGAGTCTTCTGGAAGGAAGTCTTGGAGGGTACCGCCCTCGACTGGTTGTGGGAGAGTGAGCGGCCAGCAGAGACGCAGGGGTGCGGAGCCCAGCTGCTGCTGTGGCGGCAGGGCCTGTGGCTGGCGTCTGCGTTTGCCAGTGGGCTCTGGTTTTGTGGAGGGGGATTTAGGGCATGATTTTAAGACCCGAGGTCAAGTTTGAGAGCCAGTTGTCATGTACAAAGTGTTTGCCAAGCCTAGGTGCTGCCTGCAGATGAGGGGACGCTGGGTTTCTCTTGCTACAGCTGTGCGCTTGTGAGAAACCCGGGGTGACAGGCGCTGTGATAAACCTGTCCCCAGCCCCAGAGGGCTTTAGGGAGTAAAAGTCTTTTCTTGAGACATGTTTTCATGACAAAGGATCTCCGTCCAGACTGGAGCAAGCACTTGGGTGAGTCACCATCACTGTTCTGTGCTCATGATGCCTCAGGCAGGCCGTCTGCTGGTGACGTTACTGGAAGTGGCTCCTGCCTCTGATGGCCGATGGCCAATGGCCGTGTGGCCTGGGTACTCCACCAACAGCGGGCCCCCAGGGCATCCCCCGCCAGACTATCCTGCCTTTGCAGGGGACTCTGTTTCCAAGCTGCGTTCTCCTGGACCCAGGAAGGCCCTGGGGGTGGGGGGAGTCATCTCAGCCATCACACCGAGTGGGCACTCCTGGCACAGGGTCCTTCCTCCTGCCACCCCCCGACGGGTGGGGGAGCAGAGTGAGGACAGTAATTCTGTATTTGCCCCAGCGTATAATTTTCTAGTCGTTATGTCATCAAAGTCTCAGGAAAGCAATGATGTTTTGTTATTAAAAGGATTTTTTTAGAATATTGAAAAGCAGCCCCAGACAAGTGGAGAGAAAGGTACTGTGGCGGCTGTCCTGACTTCGTGGGGTGCAGGCGTGTGGGGCAGGGGCTCCTTGGGATCAGGGAGCTGTGCTTGCTCCGTAGACGTGGAAGGACACTGAAGAGTCCACATTTGCTGCTGACCTGGTGCCCATCTGAACCACGGGACTGGGCTCCTGCCCTCCGGAAGTGGCAGGTGCCTCAATGCACCATGTGCCCAGGCCTCTTGTCCAGAAGAGGGGTGACGGGGTGGCCGAGTGCGGCGAGGGTGGCCGAGAGCACCGCCAGGTTTCCAGCCCCTCTGTTGGCGAGGGATGGGCCAAGTGGGACCACTGTCCACTGTGTTGGCCGTGGTACTATTTCGTGGGATCGAGTGTCCTGTGTTTGGTGTCGAGGAGGGATGGTGGTCACAGAAGTCCAGAGGCAGACTGCGTTCTGCGAGGAGCTCCCAACTTGGTCTAGAACGTGTGTTGACATAGAGCTGCCGCAGGGACAGGCTGTCCGTTTGTCCCAGCCTTGGCTTGTCTGTCTTGTCCCTTGTGTTTGTGCATCAGTGACATCTGGTCCAGCTAGTGTTCCAAAGGTGTAGAGGACCCCCAGGGCAGCGATGGGGGGGATGGCACCCCAGGAAGGGTAGAGGCAGCAAGCCAGAGCGCCTCAATGCCCACGGGGACCCTGACACACAGCCTGAGGGGGCCCGTTGTGCTCTGGTGGCACCAGCTGTTTGATGGGATTTTCTTGCTTCTCAGAAATCAGAGGAAATCGGAGACTCCTTTTTCTTCTGATCACGGCAGTGTGGCTCTCCCCTGTACCCCTCCATGGAGCTGGCATTTCCACGCATGTGGAGTGGGGTGCCAGCAGCACGTGGCCTGACAAAGAGGTGGAAGGTAGCTGCTTGCTCACTCCCGGCTGCTGACAGGTGGGGCCGTCGGCGGCCCTCCCGTGAAGCATCCTGGGTCCCTGCCCTCTAGAGAGGAACCTCCCAAGGCCCCAGCTCTCCTACGCCTGGTCGGAAGGAATAGTTCCCTGTTCAGAGGGTGGCTCTTTAGTGGTGGCGGGGGCCTGGGGTGTCCCTAGATAGTTCAGGCTCTGACCTTGGTGTCCAGGTGAAGTGGCAGAGCTGTGGCGCGCCTGCAGATGGGCCCGGCACCTGGCAGGCGGGGACTGTGGGCTCGGCCTGCGCCCCCCTGCAGCTGAGCACCCCCTTGCAGGGGAGGACAGAGTGAGGGCTGCGCTTGTGGGCCTTGTGTGCATGTGCGTGCGTGCGTGTGCGCGCGCACACCACACACTGTGCTCACACTCCCGATTTCTGTCTTTTCTGAAACATGAGGTGCGAGAGGCCCTGCACACGGCGCCCTTGGGCTGCTGGGGCTGGGCAGGTGCCGGACACCCAGCGGTCCCGCGCCCCGTCTCTGCCCGGCACGTGGGCTGCCCTGTGTGACGGGCCTGGTGCTCTTGCCCCCTCCTGCAGGCAAGGTCCCCGGCGACGACTGCCCCTTGGTGTGGGGCCAGTGCTCGCACTGCTTCCACATGCACTGCATCCTCAAGTGGCTGAACGCACAGCAGGTGCAGCAGCACTGCCCCATGTGCCGCCAGGAGTGGAAGTTCAAGGAGTGAGCCCCCCGTCCCTGCCCGGGGCTGGCCGGCTGACTCTTCTCTGGCAACAGCCCCTCCGGGCCGCGACACACCCTACCCGACCGACTGGAGCCGCGTTTGTTTTCCTTCAAATGGTGACACTTTTATCCAATAAGCAAAACTCATTAAATTACCTGAACCTTGCTGGAGGCCTCTGTTGCCCATTTTCTTGGTCCTGACGCCGCCTCGCAGTGCGCGGATAGGAAAACTCAGGAGTAAACATCTCGATGTGACGCCGCCAAGGCCCTGAGTCACATCCCCAGGAGGAGCAGGAGCGCAGGATCAGCCAGAAGAGCCAGGGGCAAGAGTGGCTAGCTCTGGGGGCTTGAAAGGCCCTGGGGCGTGCGTGTGTACCAACAGGAAATGGAACACCAGTGGCTCAGAGGCCCGTGGCCTGTCATCTGGCCTCTCACCCACTCGAAGCTGGGGACCACCTCGCAGACCAGTCTGTGGGACTCTGACTTGGCACAGCTGGCGGCTGCTACCCGTAGTGCCTTTCACTGAAAGGCCATCCCTGAGCAGGTGCTGGTGGTCTCTCAATCCCTCTTCCCTTATTCTGGCGGGAGGCCGGCTGGAGCGTCTGAGCGGTGACATACCCGGTGTAGGCCATGTTAAGGACATCTGTGTCCCAGGTGTCTGAGGTCCTCTACTTGGAGAACAGCCCACGGGAGGCTCCTTTGGGCACCTCTGTCAGTCTACAGCTCCAGGTTGGGGGTGGCTCCTGGGGGCCACGGTCCCAGCCCTGGAAGCCTTGGCTGCTTCTGGACAGACTGCTGCAGGCCTCATGTCCCCATGAGCTGCAAGGAGTCACTCGGCACTGACTCCTTCCGGTCCATTCTCAGGGAACAGCCCCTGGGGGTCACTGCCTTGTGCCTTGTGGGTGGCCAGCTGCTGAGTACTCCGATGCTGCTTGTCCTCAGTCCCTGGGGGCAAGACCAGGTAGTGTCCTCCAGGGGCTGGCCTTCTGCTTGGTCACCTCTGGGGCAGCCTATTTCCTGCCTGCATGCATGTTGTACCCAGAGGGAAGGAAGCCCAGGGGACCATCCCCCTTCCCCAGGCTGGAGGTCACATGCCCTGTGTCCAGAAACCCAGCTGCCCCGGGCCCCTGAGCTCGGGATCCGACCTGGGGAGGACACACCCAAAGGAAGACACATCATGTCCAGGATGCTTAGGGGAAGAAGAGGTGCCCCTGCACCTGGTGCCCCGCCCCCCACCCCACCCCAGGGCCTGGGCTCAGCCTCCCCAGCGCCTCTCAAACAAACAGGTGTGGGGGCGGCTACACTGTGTATTCTTGAGACTTTGTGTCTACAATGTGTCAGGATCCAAGGAATCCCTGGGAGGAGCTCACAGCCCTGTAGGAGTGGGCTGCCGCCCTCTGGTCCAGGCAGCATGGCAGGCCTCCACTGTCCCCGAGTTTCCAGACCTCACCCTGGCCTGCCCCCAGCCCACCTCCCCTGCCCGGGGTGGGGGGGTTTCTGCTGTGACCCATGACTGCCTGGAGCATCAGACGCTGAGTGCAGCCTCGAAGGCTTTCCGGCCTTGCCCTTGGGGGTGGCTGCCCTCATTTACAGATGCACTGTCCACTTGCCCAAGGTTGCAGACCCTCCTGTGGGCTGCCCCCCGCCCCCCCGCCAGCCATTCGGACTTCCGCGTTTCCTGCTTCCAGCCTGGTCCTTGCGGGGCCTGCTTGGCCTCAAGCTGGCCCTGCAGTTGCCCCCCAGGTCCTGTCCATGTCCAGCCAGCTGTCCCCTCCCCGGAATCAGCTCGGGGGCCCTGCGGCACCTCCGGCACCTCAGCGGGCTCTCCCTCCCCCGGGTCGCAGAGGCTCACACCGCCTGCCTTTGCAAACACTCCCCTGGCTTCCCCTCACTGCCCCCACCTCCGGCCGCTTGTGCTCCCCGGTCTTCCCCCGTGAGCCAGTGAGGCGCTCTCCTTGGCCTCCTGCCAGCTCTGTTTTCCCATTCGGCTGTGGCTTGAGTCAGGGACTGATTCATCGCCCGTTGAACACAGGTGTTGTGAGAGCGCCCACCCCGACAGCAGAACTGGGTGGAAGAAGTCTCCGGGTTCCTGTCAGCTGTCCCTTGGTCTCGCTTCCAGAGGTCAGGCCTGGCCGCGCTGCCCACCTCTTCCTAAAGGACCCCACCAGTAGTGGCCCTATTATAAGTTTCTCCTGTGGGTGTGACACAGAAGGTGGCCCCCAGGCCCACCCAGACTTTGACGTCTCAAGAAGCCTTGGCCCTGCAATCAGTTCCCTTTGAGGGTAGGAGCAAGTGTCCCCTGGGCACCGATGTCTCTCTGCAGCCTCTAGGGCCTCTGGGGGGAGGGGTAATTGCTAGGGCTAGGGCGCCCTCAGGGTCCTGGGGGCTGCTCAGTGCTGCCTCCCTGCCCCCTGCTTGCACCGAGGCCGCATCCAGGCAGGACCATGGGGCAGGGGGAGGAGCAGGCGGCAGCGGGGAGGATGGGGGCGTGGGATCCCGCACAGGAGTGGCCCCCGCGCGGGAGGCTCGGCTTCTTGCTGCTCGAGGGGGGCCCGCCCCCGCGCCCCGCACCACCAATATAAGGCGGCTGCCGCCGAGGCTCCGAGCCGCGCAGCCCGCCCGCCGCCCGCGTCCCCATGGCCCGGTCCGCGCCGCTGGTGGCCGCCGCCCTGGCGCTGTGCTTGCTGCTGGCGCCGCCGGGCCTCGCGTGGTACAGGCCGGCGGCCGGGCCCGGCTCCTACTCGGTGGGCCGTGCGGCGGGGCTGCTGTCCGGCTTCCGCAGGTCTCCGCATGCGCGCCGCTCCGAGCCCCCCGGGAGCGCGGGACCCCCGGGCCGGGCGAGCGCCGTCGCCGAGCCGCGCCCCCGCCTGCGGAGCCTCGTGAGTGCGGCCGGCGGGACTTGGGGTGGGGGGTGGGGGGTGGGAGGTCAGGAGGGGTCTGTGGTGCGCGGGGGGCGCGGGGTGGCCCCTCAGCCTCCTCCCGCCCCCAGGCCGCGTGTGTCAAGGACGTGTCCCCGAAACTGCGGAGCTGCGCGCGGTTCCCCGACGGCCGCGCCACCGTCCAGTGCCAGGCGGACGTCTTCCTGTCGCTGCGCGCGGCCGACTGTCGCAGCGCCTGAGCCTCCACCCGGCCCCGACCCCGCCAGGCGGCAGCGCAGACACCCCAGCGCCTCCCTGCATCCCCGCTCGCCGATCGGCTCCCCAATAAACGAGAAGCGCAGCTGAACTCCGAGTGGGGGCGGGTGGGGCGGGCCCCGCGGTCTGCAGACCCCACTCCGCCGCCACTGTCTGCCCTGGGGGGGGGGCAGCCCCCTCACCTCCCGCTGTCGTCCACACAGCCCCCGCACGCCCCCGTGTCCTCCAGGAGGCAGCTCCATGTCTGCCCTCAGCGCAGCGGCCGCCCACCACCACACCCGAAGGGGCCTCTGGCCTAGGACAGCCCGCCGCCCGCCCTGCCTTGGTTCTGGGGTTTCCTGAGGACAATGCTCTGCCTTATAAGAGGGGCAACTCCTGCAGTCCCTCCTTTCTTGGTGTCCCCCCAAAACACCTCAAAGTACTGGGCACAGGGCAGTGACTTGGCCTGTTGAAGGAGTGACTAAGCCAGGGAGGGGTGGGGCTGGGGGAGGCAGCCACACCTGCTGCTCCAGGACAAAGCCGGGCACAGCCTCTTCTGAGGTGGGGAGCTCTGGACCCAGTCCTCCCTCTGACCCATGGCCAAGCCGGCAGTTCCCACAGCCATGAGGGCCGAGACACAGCCGTGAGGGATCACGGCGCACCGGCAGGGACCTCCCCTGCCCACGCTCAGGCCTGACTGCCTCCTTTACTTGCGGGCATCTGGGTTCATTCTGGCCCCAGCCCCACTGAGGCAGACCTTGAGCTCCTTTCATGGCACGTACTGGGGCCTCCAGTAGGGCTGCGTTTTGGAGGGCAGAAAGGCAAAATGAGGTTCAGAGCCTGCATTGGGGGTGCCCGCCACCCTCCCACCCCCCTCGGGGAGGCCAGGGGGAGTTGGACCCATTGGCCCTCACTTAGAGGCTGTGGGAGGACCCACAAACCCACTGGCCCGAATGATTCCATCTCCAGGGGGCACTGACTTCCCAGAGCCCCAGGCCCTGAGCCTCCTCCAACTGTGTCCCTGTGTCCCCATGGGCTCCCTGGCTGCCGCAGTCCCCAGCTTAGAGGGGCCGCTCCCGTGTCCTTCCACTTCGAGTCAGTGCAGGACTAGCGGCTCCCTCCTCGTGCCCCTGCTCACGGGGCCCTGCTGCCCAGGGCTCCAGGAGTCTGAGTCTTGCCCTCCCTGAAGCTGGGGGCCCAGGGAGGGCCTTGTGCCTCTCACGCACTACCCCAGCTTGGGGAGGGAGGAAGGAGACTGGTGGCGGCTGCCCAGTGGGGGGCCGGGGTGGCTGAGCATTCACAGTCCCTTCCCTTCCACTTCCTGCACGGGCTCAGAGTTAGACTCATGACTCGTTACATCGGGAGGAAAAAAGGACAGACCCACCCGCCAAGGAGAGAAGGACACCAGCCCTCCGATCTCCGCTTCCACGGGGCCAAGCCACAGGTGCCCGGCCTCACCCGGCTCCGCAGCTGAAAGACAGATGCCCTTCCGGGGGGAGGGGCTGAAAAGACACCATCACAGTCCTCACCTCTGAACAAAACCAGCCAAACTCTTGCCCCCTCCCCGTCCGAAACAAAGAGGTGAGCGGGGTTGGCAGCCCACAACTGCTGGGCTGCTCCCAGTGGTCCTGATCTGGGTGCAGGAGACCCCGAGATTCCTGGGGGGGGGACCCAGTCAGGGAGCCGAAGCCAACTCCTTCCCAGATCCGTGGCGCTGTGCCATGCCACGGGGAGCCAGCCTCCCACTGGCCTCGTGACGGGCTCCGGGGCCAAGAACCCACTGGGCTCTGGCTGCCCTCCCTCCTTCGTTACAGGCTCTATGGAAGGCAGCCTGGGGCATCTGGGGGTCCTAAACTGGGGGGGGGGTTCCTCGCTGCCGGGCTGCCTGCTTCCCCCACCCCCGGCCTCCCCACCGTGTGTGCGTGGTGGGGAGCAGGGCTACGAGCCAGACGCGGAATAGCTCCCGCCAGGTTTATTTGGTCGTACCCCAGCCGGTCAGATACAAAACCGAGAGCAGTCTGTGGGGAGAGCAGGAAGGCTGGCCTGGGAAGTAGGGGGCGCAGTGCCCAAGAGCCAGCCCCAGGGCACCAGGGAGCCCACATGGGAAGCGGCACAGCCTGTGTCCTGAGGAGGAAAGGGGGTGCCCCCTTCAGGTCACTGCTCCCCCAAAGCTGGCTTCCAATGAGGCCTGGATGGCGGAAAAGGCCAGGTGGTGGGGATGTCCTGGGTCTGCAGGGGCTTGGGGGGGAGAAGCCAGGCCTTCACCAGCTCGCAGGGTGGTTTCCTGCTGGCAAAAGGTGCCCGCTGGGCCACTCGTCTGTGCTGGATGCCCTCTCTGTGCGACTCATCGGGAAAGCCTCTGGGCAGGTAGGGTGGGGGCAGCGCCCTCGGCTCTAGCCCTTCCAAGAGCAGGCCAGGTGGAGAGGGGGTGCGGCAGCTTTGTTACACACCAGACCCTCGAGGCGAGGCGTGGGAAGGAGAGCAGGAGGGGCTGGCCCGAGGGCACGCGGGGTGACCGCTCACTGCTCAGAAGTCACAGTCGCTCTCTCTCTCACGCTGCGCCTCCTGCCGCCTCCTGGCCTCCAGGAAAGCCAGCTCCTTGGCCTCTTTCTTCTGGTTCCGGGCCTCGTACTCTAGCCTGGGGGCCGGGCTGGGGTGAGCTGCGCACCTAGGCCTGGGGCTTCCGCAGCCCCGCCGGGCCCAGCCCAGCAGCCCTCCCTCACCTGTTCTTGATGATGCGCTGAACAATGAGGTCCGTGGTCAGGTCGTTCCCGCTGTCGACCTGGCAAAAGATGCCCCTTCTCTTGGGCTCCTGGAGGCCAGAGGGTAGGGAGGTAATGACGGCCTCCTCTGGAGCCGCCTGGGCCTGAGGGTCCTCAGCCCCGAAAGACCAGAACACTAGCATGGTTCCTCCCCCTGCGTAGCAAGCATCCTCCTCCTCCTCTTGGACTGGCAGTTAAGCCGCCCCCGGGGTAGCTTCCACACAGGCACTGTGAGGCTGGGGGAGGCGGGGGGGAGGCGGAGGGCAGGTTCCCCGGGAACAGCACACACGGCCGCCTTGTGCCCAGCAAGGGCCCAGCACGACCCACCTGGTAAGGATCTGAGCCATCCTTGTCCGGCACGATTTCTGTCTTCCCGTGACATACCAGGTCCACCTGGGGAGGGAGCAGGGGTCAGGGAGCCTGGTGCCTTGCACTCAGAGGGCCCTCCCTGGGACCTGGTCCACCAGGAGCCTCACCTTGAAGTGGTCCAGGAGCTCTGCTGTGACTGCATAGGGGGCCCCGATCACCACTTCTGACACGTACTAGGGGGACAAGGAGCACAGATGGTCAGCTAAGACCCCACTAGGCCCCAGGTTGATGGGAGAAAGTGCTCACTGCTAAGGAAGCAAGGCTGGGGGTAGGGAGCAGCCTGGCGGGGCTGGCTGGCCAGAAGCCCAAGGCTCCTGGATACCCACCCCCTCCTCCCCCGCAGCCTGGGCAGGGGACCCCACCCGGCGCCCCCGCAGTGGTCCATACCCGGCAGGCCAGCACGCTCAGGGTCCGCTCGTGAAGGTTCATGATGGGGTAGTTCTTCCCCTTGTAGTGGTTGACCTCCTAGGGCCACAGTGAGCTCCAGTGAGCAGGCAGCCTCTGGCAGACGGGGCCCAGCAGTGCGGGGAAGCCCCAGACCCCAGAAAGAGGCCCCTGCCTCCCCCACCTCCATCAGCTCCCCAGGCCTCACTCCTGTGAGCCACCTGTGCCCAACCTCAGCCCCAGGAGCCCCCCCCAGGGCGCCCACACCCTATCAGCTGGCCAGGGAGCGAGACCTGGTCAAAGTGCAAGCCGGCGATGACATACGGCCTTCTGGCCAGGCCGTGCACCTTCTCCAGGAAGTCCACGTGGCCGATGTCTGTGCCCAGGTTAAGAACTGAGTAACAGGAGGAGAGGCGCCCTGCACGACCGGGGCTCCGGCGGGTTCCCCTGAGCTCCACCCACTCTGGGAGCTGCGAGGCGTCAGGGAGGCCTCTCAGGTCCCATGACCCAGAGGGGCCCAGAGGGCCACAGCGGGGACCACCCTCCCCCTTGGTCCCAGAGGATACGGAACAGGTCGAAGGCACCGGCCACATAGATGACGGTCTCCCCTGGCTGGGGCTCCTTCCCCGAAGCAAACTGGATGATCTTCTGAGACGTCTGCAGGAACTGCGACAACCCTGTCCGGGGGTTCCGCCCCCCAGGGCACTAGACGCCGAGAAGGCTCTGGTCAGCGAGTGCTGCCCCGGGAGCGGCCTGTCCTTCACCTGCCCCCACCCCCAGCTCCTTTTCTGGGCCCAGGCTGCCTGCGCCTGCCTGTCTGGGAGCAGGTATGGGGGCGCTGGCGCAGAACCCCAAGCCCCAGCTGCAGCACTTGCTCGGTCACGTGGGTGCTCTTACCAGCACGTGCCTCAGGCAGGGACAAGGTGGGGAGCCAGCAGCGCCCGCCCTACGCAACCGGCGGGATGGGTGGCTCCGCCCTGTGGCCGCCGTGGGCACTGCAGCAGACAGCACTGGGGCCTGATAGTGGGCCCAGCAGTGGCCACGGCCCTGGTGGGGGACCCAGCACCCTGAGCCACCTTCTGGTCACCTGGGAGGGCCCTTCCGAGGGAAGTGTCGGCCTGGCGGGTGTTGGGTAACGGGGCTACAAGGGAGAGATGACCAGGCTGCCTGGTTAGAGGCCACCTGCTTGAAGGCGGTCCTGGTTCCTCTGTGGCCGCGGGACTGGCTCGCTTGCTGAGCCTGGTGGGCAGTACCCAGGCGGCGCCAGGAAGGTGGGGGTCGGGTACGGGGGCATTAGGGAGTGGCCGGGCGAGCCGGGGCGACACTCACCTTGCCGAAGCTGTCTGCATACTCCCGGTACTCCGAGGAGATCTCCTGAGAGGAAGGACATGGGACGCTGAGGAGCCTTGCTGTCCCCCAGACGTGGCCAACCCCCAGAGCTCACAAAGGGACAAAGACAGACAGACCAGGTGCTTCCTCCCTCCCAGCAGTGTCCTGAGCCCTGGGAGCCCGCCCCTGTCCCTCCCAGACTCACGTGACCGCTGTGATGGGCCTTGGTCACCAGCAACATGCGGCCGACAAGGTCCGTGGTGGACACGCCCTGGGTGCGCCTGCACTCTCTGGGGACAGAGTGGGGTCAGCACTCGCATCCTGGACATACTCCAAAGGCCCCACAACGGCTCCCCCCGCCTGAACGCGGCCCCGCCGGCCCCCAGCTGGGCAGTGCAGGCCAGGCAGCTCCTTGCCACTCTCGGCCACAATAGAAAACCAGGACCAGGAGTGTGGGGCAGGCCACGGCACTTTTATACACGGAAGGGCATGACAGAATAGACGAGAAGTGCTGCTCAGCCGGGAGTGTGCGGTGCCTGGCGGCGGGGGGTGGGGGGGCAGGCCAGACCGGGGCCCATGGCAGCTCCAGTCCCCGGCCCCCACGACTGTCCCCCATGGCTGTCTGAGTCTGGTAATGGCCACACCCCACTCTCTTCCCAGCGGCCAGCTGCCCACGGCCCATGACCACCACCTGGGCTGGCGCAGGTCTGTGACACTTGAAGACCCACTGGGCAGCCGGCCTACCCTGCTTCCCTGGCCTGGAAGAGGCTGCAGCCCATTTTCCTCATGGGCAGAAAGAGTTAGGGGGGAGCTGTGAGCCCTACTCCTCGACAAGGGGGGGCCCTCTCTGGGGCTCACCTGTACCTCCCGGCCTGCTTCACTTCCTCGTAGGTGTCACGGCCATCTACGGTCAGCGTGATGTCATCTAGGGAGCACCACACACGGGTGAATGAGGACTCTCAGCCCAGACTGCGGGGGCCTGTGGGGCCCCCAACCCTCATTCTAGGCGGGCCCTGGCATGCAGGGACTCTTTCTGGGAAAGGACCTGACGCCTTCTCAGATCCCCGAAAGGCTCAGGCCCCAGCAGCCCGGCCACCCTCCAGCCCCGCCAGAGGCCCCAGCACTCTGGGCCCCAGCCCCCCACTCACTGCCATGCACACAGAAGTCACAGTTGTGCTTGTCCAGTGTCTCCAGCGTGGTCACGTAGGGAGCTGCAGGCACCACCTCGTCTACCCACTTGATGGCCTGCACCATCTTGTACCTCTCCTCTTGAGTGAAGACTGGGGGCCCCTTGTGCTTGGAGATCTCCTCTAGAGCCAGACACAGAGCAAGGACAAGACAGGTGAGCTCTGCAGGGCTGGCCCACAGGCTCGCTGGCCTCGGGGCCCCCTCCCACCACCAAGCAGGGCTTGGAACCATAGCTGAGCTCGTGGCGGGCAGCTGTCTGTCTCCTTGGGCCTTGGGCCCTCTGCCTGTCGTGAGGGCAGAAACACACCCATGTGGACGCCGCCCTATCTCTCTGGGCCAGTACGGGGGCTCAGGATGTGGTCACTGGCTAACTATGTGCTCCCTCACCCAACCAGAGTTCCAGGCAAAGTCCTGTGACAGCCAGGCGCTCCATTCCCAAGGGTCCCAGGCACCAGGCTGGGGTGGGAGGGTGAAGGGGGCAGCACGGCCAGAAATGTCATCCCTTGGATGCACTGTTCAACTTGAGCCGCAGGATGGGAAGCCGTGGGGGGCTCAGCCTGGGCCTGCAGGTGGTGTGAAGCTGCTGGGCCGTGCTCTTCAGAAGGATGGCCATGGACCTGGCCTTGCCACCTGCAGGGCCCTGGGAGGTCAGTGGGAGGCAGCAGCCCAGCTCACCATCGGTGTGTACACCCACGATGAGGTAGTCGCCCATGGCCCTCGCCTGGCGCAGCTGGTTAGAGTGGCCATAATGCACCATGTCATAGCTGTGGAAAGGACAGGATGGTGAATCCCTGTGCGGAGGGTGGCACTGAGCAGCTGGGAGGGGGCGTGGGGGTGCAGCCTTGCTCCCCTGGGCCTTCCTTTTTTTTTTACTTTTTTAATTTTTTAAATTTTTTTTTTTATTTATTTGACAGACACATCACAAGTAGGCAGAGAGGTAGGCAGAGAGAGACAGGAGGAGGAGGCAAGCTCCCTGCTGAGCAGAGAGCCCGATGCGGGACTGGATCCCAGGACCCTGAGATCTGGACCTGGCAGAGGTTTTAACCACTGAGCCACCCAGGCACCCCTCCCCTGGGCCTTCCTTAAGAAGGCCTTTGAAAAGCTGCCACTGGGAACAGCTCCTCAGGGTCTGGCCAAGCCTGGGCATTCAGAGGGGATTTGGGCCCTCAGCTCCCCACACCACTGGTCCCTGGGCCAGATTTAACAAGCATGACAGGGGCTGGGCTGTGCCCAGGAACAAGGCCTGCTGCCCCCCAGGGCCAGTGAGCGCGCACAACAGCTCGGCTCGCCACGCATGCCACAGAGCTCTGGTCTCTGCCCTCAGCCGCTCCTCTCACCGAATGCAAACAAGTGTGTTGGGGGGCAGCCCCTTTACTCCGTGAACTGACATTAATTTACGGGTGGGCTCTGAAGCAGGAGGCCAGTCTTTGGGACCAATACGGAACAGAATCTGACAGATGAGCAAAGGCAACTGCCAGCTTTGGAAATCCTGCTCGCTCCCCCATGGCCTCCAGAAGCTCAGCGAGGCTCTCCTCTCTGGGACCAACAACCCCCTCCCTGGTGGCTGGTTCTAGAGCTCTTATCCTCAAATCTGGGCCTGATTAAGGAGTGACTTCCTAGCTAGAGGCCGACTTGCTCCCCTGTGTGTGGTGCCCAAGTTGGCCCCACACCAAGTCCATTTCCTGACGCTGTCCCTGCTTCTCCAGGTGACCCATGCCCCCTGGTGTGCAAAGCTGTTCCACTCCCTGACACCTGTTAGCTCTCACTGCAGCACACCAGGTTCCCGCACACAAGACTGTGGGGTCACAGGGCTCAGGCCTTGGGGTGAGAGGAGTGGCTAAGTGCAAATGCAGCAGCCTGGCTGGCCCTTGAGCTCACTGGACGGGCTGGGCCAGGGGTTCACAGATCGGACTGCAGGGTGGTGCTGGGCCCAGGGTGTGTCCTAGCCACCGTGGCCTGCTGGGGCAGGGGCCTGGCCAGACCAGGGCCAAGGTCAGAGTCCACCCACACGAAAACATGCTCCCTCCCCGAAGGGCACTCAGGCACCGCTGCAAAGGTGTGGCAGCCCCCGCACCCCCAACAGCCCTGCTCTCTTCCCAAGCCGGGAGCTAGCCCGGTGGGGGCTGTGCTTTCTCTGATTGCCACCGAGAAGGTATCCGGAAGCGCCCGGGGCCAGCGCTCCGTAGAGGTCAGTTTTCCTCTCACCTGCTGACAGCCCCCAACTTATCTGCAAACAACTCCAGGTCTCGGCCGGCTAGAGAACAGGACGGGTGGGCACTGTGGCCCTGCTGGGCAGGACCCAGGAGCCCGGGGGCTTGGCTGGGGGGTCGCGGACACAGGCAATTCCCGCCCTGCCGCTCGCCATGACACCCAGGAGACTCCCTCGGCCCTGCGGCAGGCGGGCTGGGGAGCCGGACACGGACACCGCGGGCAAGACGCTCCGGGCGCACGGCTCCCCGGTCGGGACGGGACACGCGCGACTCACGCCACCACCGGACACCCCGGCGGGCCGCTCAGCGGCAGACCCCGGAGCACGGGCGCCCGCGTCCCCAGGAGGGCACCGGGGCCGGGAGCCGCAGGTCCGGGCCGCCGCCGCCGGCCGCTCGCGCCGCACGGTCGTCCCCCGGGCCCCGGGCGCAGATCGGCCCGCGGACGTGTCTCCGGGCGGCGGCGCAGCGGCCCCCGCGGCCCCGGGCCCGGCTGTCCCCGCCCCCGGCCCGCCCGCCACCGCCGCCGCCGCCGCCGCGCTCACCAGCCGTCGCACCACACTCGCACGGCGCGCCTGCCCTCCGGACCCGGCGGCTCTGCACCGCCCGCCGCGCCATGCCCGTTCCGGATCATGGCCCCGCAGCGGCGGCGCGGCCCGACCCGCTCCGCGACTCCCAGCGGCTGCCGCCCTCCCGCCCTCCCGCCCGGAGCACGCCCCGCCCCGCCGGGCGCACGCGCCGTCACGCGGACCTCACCCGCCGCGCGCGGCCAATGGCGAGCCCCGCCCCACCCCTGGATCCCCGCCCCGCGTGCGCCGCCAATGGCGTGAACCGCCGTAGCCGAGGCCCACCCCCGCCTGGCGGCCTATCGGGTGCCCCGGAGACCCCGCCCTCCGGCGCGCGGGGCCAATAGCGCGCACGCACCTAGCCGAGGGGGCGGGGCAGGGCCACGTGGGGCTCCACCGGCTCTCCCCGCCTCCCCCAGCCTAGCCCGCCCAGCCTGCCCCGCCCCGCCCCGCCCCCGGGAACCTAAGCTGAGCGCCCGCTCCCGCGCCCACCCGGCAGCCATTCGAGGACACGCGGGCGACAGTGCAGAGATGTTTAATAACAATAAAAAGGCGCGCCGAGTCCAGGCTCAGAACCAGTCCTCTGCCGAAAACCCCGTTCGGAAAAAGGTTGCTATAAAGTTACCACGTTTTAGTAAGAAGCAGTAGAAATAGGGTTGAGGCCCCTGAGACGAGCCCGGTGCACGAGGTAAGGCAGTCGCGTGCTTCCTCCTGACCGGCCGGCTGTGAAACAACCCGAGTTCCGATCCCGCAGAGAGGCGTGGCCGCCCCCTCTCTGGGACGCGGCCAGACGGCGAGGAGTCCTCTGACGGCCCACGCCCGAGGCGGCCGCAGCAGTGCAAGGGAGGCGGCGCGTGGGACTTGGGGGGCAGTCCCGGCCTCGCCCCTGAATACGAGTTCTGACATCTGCAAAGTGCCATTTGTTCTTGTCCAGCACCGGGTTACGTCACTTTCTTCCTTTTTGTGCGTTTAGTGCAGCCCCTGCCAAACCAGCCGCCTAGGACCGGGGCTGAGCTGAGCGGTGCACCCCGGTCTCCAGGCGGAGGCTCCTCTCGGCTTCTGCACAGCGACTTCCGAGTGTGGCTACCTTCCTCACCCGCACGCAGGGGAGTTGCCAGGGAGAAGATGGGGTCCTGCCACCTACCGAAAAGGGAAAGCTAGGTCAGGTGAGCCTGGGAGCCTCAGTCACAACCTGCCCCAGGGCGGGAAAGCTGACTGAGGAGGTCGCCCTGCTTCCCTTCCCGTCCTAACTGTGGCCAGGCTTTGCTTGGTGGCAGCTCCACTGTTCTGGAGCTACAGAACGGCCTAAGCTCCCCAGTAACTCAGAGGTCAGCACTCACACTAGCTCAGCCTCTGCGGAACTCAGTGTCCTTGCCGGCGACCCAGCAGGCTGAGCACACTGGGGTGAGGCAGGAGCAGCCCCAAGAGGGATGAATCACTAGCAGCTCTGGGTCCCACTTTTCACTCGAATGGCCGGGGTGGGTGGACCAGACCCTCTCCCTCTTCCCAGACTGCAGGATGTGGGGGGAAAAGGCCCACTGACTAGGGAGGTGTGGCCTATGGACTAACCATGGAGAGATCATGTGTCTGACTGAGATGTAGAACCACATATTATAAACTTAAGATACAGATAAGCACTGATAAAGAAAATGAGCTAAGTTAATGTAAAAAAAAAAAAGAGTACAGTACACAATAGGCCCACATTACAGAACACCACAAACATAACATACAAGAATTGCCAGGCCCAGAAGGTGAAGGGATCCTTAATTCTTGAACCCTTTGATTAAAAGAAGTTATTGATTTCCCCTATAAGACCCTGAAAATTCACAGAGAAAGAAAGTGTAAACTTTTTACTCAATACATACACCACGTCTAAATTATCACAAATTCTGTATTAAGGTACAGTTTAAGCTTCCCCACAGTACACCAGCTCCCCAAACCGAGTGCACCAAGACTGTCTGACTGGAGTCGCCGAGACCACGTCCCTTCAAGGCACCTTCCCGTGCAGGCGGTCTGCGGCAGAGGGGCCTCCGGGCGCGCGCTGGCACATTCCCTCTCCCGGCAGGGAGTCACGCTCGGCTGATGCCTCAGCCGCTCCCTGCAGAGGCCGCCAGGCCGCAGTCACACCTCAGACACCATGTCCGACTCAGAGCATTCCCTGTGCTTGGTTCACAAGAACAGACAGACACAGCCCATCCACACAGGGGCAGGAAAGGGGGGTGCGCCCGTGCCCCCCTCACCTGCTATAGGGGGGGATCTCCAGGCCCAGCTCATCCATGAGGAGCTGCATGACGTCATCACACTTTCCGTGAAGCTTCAGGGCAGCCCAGTCATCCTTTGGGGTCCACTGGGGACAGGGGAAGGTACGTGAGGACACCCCACGGCCTCCCGATGGCCCTTTCTCAGCCAGACCTCTCTGGCCCATGAGTTCGGGACACGAACGTCCCAAGAACTCTCTGGTTCTCCTCTCCTAAGGTCCAGGTCTCAGGAGGGGCCTCTCCGTGCGCGGCTCACCTGCAAGTTCACGATGTAGAGCTTGGGCCGCCGGCTGGGGGGCTTGGTCATGCACCAGAGACGAGGATACTTCTTCAAGACCTTCAGGAACGGACAGACCGGCAGAAAGGCCACATGCACAATAGGGAGCGAAGCTCTAGGACACCAAACGGCCAACTGGGGGGGCCAGCAGGCTCCCCGCCCCCACCCCCACCACGGTGCCATTCACGTACCTTTAAGCTGGAGCCTAAACACAGGATTGTATCTGCTTTGCTGGCTGCCTGAGTGGCTGCCTCCCAGTTCAGAGGCTGCCCCAGGGTCCCCCTCTCCCCGAAGTGCACGATGGTGTCCCGGAGCTGGGCCCCGCACTTGTGGCAGGCCCGGCCCGTCTGGTGGCGGTGCAGGGCGGTGCGCTCGGTCACATCGAACACTCTCACGTACTCTCTGTTGGGGGTGCAGGCTGTGCACACCTGAGGAGGAGAGGCCGCCATGAGCAGGAGCCGCCGGCCCGCGCAGGCCCCCGGACCCCGGCGGGACCGCTCACTTCGATGTACATGTTCCCGTGGAGCTCCGAGATGGCCGTGCGGGGCAGCCCACTCCGCAGGTGGAGCCCGTCACAGTTCTGAGACACCACGTGCTGCACCTGGAGGGGAGGCCAGCGTGAGTCAGCAGGGGGCCGTGGGAGGGGCTGTGTTCATCAGGGACACCATCCTTAACCCTGCCCCGAGCCCCCAAACTGGGGGCGACTCCAACCCCACATGAAGCCTCGGAGGCAAAACCAGGGGGGCAGGTCGGTCCCAGCACGACCTGGAGGGCCCTCGGGGGGAAGGGCCCCCCGCTGCCCTCAACAGCCGGGAAGCTCTTGGCGAGCCGAGAGCGCAGGTTTCTCCTCTCAGCTGGGAAGGGCCCGACTGACGCTCTCTTGGCTCGGTATGTTTCGAGTCTCTGGAGGACCAGGAGAAGAGACCCCTGCCCACGTGGCTGAACGTGGCCAGCGCGGGGGGGTCTTCAGAGGTCTCCCACAAGCTTCCCCTTTATCTAGGTGGCTTCTGAGGTCTGTGGGGACAACGTGATAGAAACGCAGCGTGGAAAGAACCCCCAGCAGCTCTGGGCCTGAGGCAGACCCTATCCACGACTCAAGCCGGGAGTCAAACACTCGGTGGGCACTCATCCCCCAGGTCCAGTGGCTGACAGAGGCACAGTACAGTTGCCACTTGGGCACAAAGTTGGCCGTCCAGGTTCTGCGCTAGGGACCCAGCAAGTGGACCGCCAGCCACACCAGGTTCTTACCAGCTTTTGCTCATGTAAGCGGGCGATGCTCATGTGGGTGAGGGTCGGCTCAGCCTCACTCAGGTCGGCAGCACTGCCGGGCAAAGGAAAGCACAGGTGTGGGGAGCTGCGAGGTCAGGCCCATGCTGCCTCCGCTCGACTGGACGGCAAGGCTGCCCGGGGCTACTTACCTAACACTTCTCCCTTTCTGAAGCAGAGTCCACACTCCATTAGGGCCCCGGTAATCTGGGATAGAGGCTGCCTGCACGTTCAGAAAGAAAATAAACCCGGTGACAATGCATCACTGTAGGAACTGGCAAAATTCACAAGCATGAAAAGCAAATGTTTCTCCAGATGTGTTCCAGGCTTCTCCACGCACTGGCCTCTATTCCTTCCAACGGCTCAGCACTTCTTAGTGCTACCTGCCTAAACCCAGACGGAGTGGCTCCTTCCCTCTGCCTGGACCCCTCCTCCCACATGGTCTAGCTCATCCCTCCAGGTCCCAAGGAGTCCTGCCGCCTCTGGGAACCTCTCCAGCATGGACTACAACCTGGGCTCTGCAACCACACCTGTCCTCCAAAGCCAGAGAGAGAGGACTGGTCAGGCTCATCTGTGGGTCCCCAGGGCCTACCCAGTGCTCAGGGAAGGCTTAGCAGATGCCGAAACTCTAGGTAGGAGCACTCAAGCGTGCTGATTCTCCCATCCTGACAGTGCCTCCTGCCCTACCGTCACAACGATGGCCGTCTCTCCAGATGAGATAAAGACCACTGAACTTCTCTAGTTCTCAACCCAGCGAAACAAAGTCACCATGAGCGAAAACCGAAGGCGTGCTGGGATCAAGCAGTCTTGTGTTCCCCAGGCTGTGAGTGACCTGCCTCCTGGGGAACCCTGTCTCCTCCCTGTAGCTTAAGCTTGGAAAAATGCCCACCACGTGAACAGTGCAGTTCTGAACCACGTTGAAGAGAGATGTCGGACGGCGACACTCAGAGCAAGCGACAGAGCAGCACTCCCGCAGATGACAGGAGCACACACATGACTGCAGGAAGGAGGCCCCAGGACCAGGGCTCCACGGTCTGCAAGTCAGGGTGGTCAGTGCCCCTTATACGACCTCACTGCTGGGCCTCTGAGCTCAACCCTGTTTGGAGGGTGTTCCTCTCACCTTGCCTGTGAAACCTTGCTCAGCTTTCAAGGCCTGGCCTCCATGCTGCCTCACACACAAAGGCAAGGGGATGGGTTTCCCAGCTCTGGGGCTGGGGGCGTGAGTGTCTGCATCTCCACCCAGCAGCCCAGCCCCGCCGCGTTACCTTCGCTCTCTGCTCACCTGCCGTGTTCTCATCACCCACGGGCCTCCTGAGAACAGAAATCCTCAGTGTTCGCCTCTGCGGGGCCTCCACGTGGGTCGCACTCAACACCCTCCCGTTAAGTAGACAAGTGCGTCAACACTCACGATATCCCATGGCCCAAGATGGCCTCTCGACAGAACGTGCCCAAACCCCACACGCTTCTCTCCTTCAGCGGCTGTACTCTATTTCTGCCTTGCTTTCTACTTACTTTCTTTCAATGTTTAGAAAACAGGAACAGTGGGGGATCAGGAGACGGTTCTGGACTTGGCTCTGCCCACATAACCTTGGGCTGGTGATGAACCACCTCGGCTTTGGCTTTTTCTTTTACTAATTAAAGATTTTATTTATTTATTTGACAGAGAGAACACAAGCCGGGTGGGCGGGGGAGGGCGGCCGGCAGAGGGAGAAGCAGGCTTCCCGCTGAGCAGGGAGCCCAACCCCAGGACCTTGGGATCATGACCTGAACCGAAGGCACAGGCTTCACCGAGTGAGCCACCCAGGCGCCCACCACCTTGACTTGAACCGAGCAAGGGCGCGAAAACACTGTCCTGCTTTATGCTTCCTTCCTTCCCTTCCTATCACAAAAACGGCAGACATTTAAAAGGGTTTATCTCCCCACTGCAATTCCAAGCCGACGCACTTGGCGCTTCTCTAAGAACGAACACGGGGAGCACCCGGGGGGCGCGTTCAGTTAAGCCTCAGACTCCGGGTGTCCGCTGAGGCCTCGGCCGGCAGGGGCTTGAGACCGTGCCCCCTTCTCCCCCGTGCTCGCGCCTCCACTCTCTCTAACACAGAAATCGAAAGAGAGAAACCAGAGGACAGGGAAGAAAGAGGGCATCTGGGGGCACTGGGGGCGCCCGGGGGCTCTGCCGGGCCGTGAGGTCCAGCCCCACACCGGCTAGGGAGGCCACTCCGAGAAGCGGGCAGCAGCTTGAAGACAGCGCGTCAGGGCGGCTCGGGAGGCGAGTTTTCCGCGATCCGCCGGACACTCGGACTCGGCTCGGCGCCGGGCGCGCCACCCAGAAGGGGGCGCCTCGGCCCGGACCGGCCCGGCCCGCGCCCGCCCGGCCGCCTTACCGTGCTGATGCCCGCGCCGGTGTAGACCACCAGGTACTTGGCGTTCCGCACGGCGCCGGCCAGCTCCCGGACCTTCCTCCGCAGCTCCTCCGGGTCGTCGCACACCTGCCGGGACAGCCGAGGCCGGTCGTGACGCCCGCCCCGCCCCCGCCCGGCCAGGGCCCGGCCCCGGCTGTCCGCGGCCCGAGCCCCGCACCGACCAAGCCCCGGGCGCGCCGCGAGACTCGCCTCCTCCTGCCGCCGCTTCAGGCCCTCGCGCCGCCTGCTCCGGCCCTGCAGCTCGGTCACCAGGTCCTCGCTCTCGGCCAGGAGCCGGCCCTCCTCGGCGCTGCGCTCGGCCGCCGCCTTCCTCAGGATGCGCGACACCTGCGGGCGCGGGGCGGGCGGTGAGGGCGGCGCGGGCCGGGGGCACGGCGCGAGGCGGGCGGCGGCGTACCTGGCGGAGGCGCTCCCGCTGCTGCTCCTCCCTCAGCCTCCGGACCCGCTCCGCCGCCTTGCGCTCCGAGCGGCTGGGACCCCCGGCTGCCATCGCTCCCGGGAGACCCGCGCTTCCGCTTCCGCCTCCGGGCAGGCCGCGCTCCGGCGCATGCGCGAGAGGCCCGCCCCGCCCTTCCGGCCCCGCCCGCGCAGCGCGCAAAGGAAGCACCTGACAGTCTCTTTAAAAGGTGTTTATTGATCATATACAAAATAAAGAAAACCTTATATATCACAAACATACACTATGTACAGCAATAAATACCCGGGGTCCGGCCCAGTGCCGCCCCCCCTGGACAATAATTTAGCAATAAATACTGCACAGGGTAGGGTGGGCCCTGGGGCCAAGGCCCGCCCCAGGGAGGCCCCTCCTCACCTGCATCTCCAACACCCTGGCAGGTCCCAGGGAACCCCCACCTTCCCCTGGTTTCAGCCCCAGGCAGAACAGGCAGGGTCTGATCACCTCTGCTTGGACCCAGCTTCTCAGCGCCAGAAGAGCACCAGAGCGGGACACACGGGGCAGCCCTTGTCCTGTTGCCCTAAGATGCCAGGAGAAGGCTTTCTGTACCCACTCCCGTTTGGTTAAAGGCTTCAGGGAGTAGCAAATTGAGGGATGGGGAGAAGAGAGGGGCTGGGACACAAGGTTGCTGCAGGGGCTGTCCCCTTGCAGTTCCGGGGCTGGGGGGACTCTCTCCTACACTCCAGCTCAGGCGCGCGAGACACCCACGCACCAAGGCTGCTGCTCCGGCGTGGGGTGCAGATGCCCGTGACTGGCCCAAAGGTGCCGCACACGCTCAAAACACACAGGCCTGAAGCAGGACAGCCATACCCCTGCCTCCGTGTGTCTTCCACTTCTCCCCACCTGCTCCAAAACTAGACAGCCAACAGGAAGGCAATAACGCGCCAAAAAGAATTATTCAGTGGCTTCTGGGGGAAAAAAATCGTTACTGTGTTGGTTCCTTTCACCAAACCACAGCCTAGAAAAGTAACTTACAAGATCCCCGAGCGGAAACGCACTGCAGGCTGTGGCTTGGGCTTCCCAGCTGCGGGCAGGAGCCTTAGCCAACCGGCCACCTCAGAGATGGAGGCAACAGGGATAGGAGGGGGCCTGATCACCTTGTCCCAAAGCAGGCTGCAACCGATCAGAGCCGTGGGGTCAGGCACGGACCGCAGGGGCTGCTGTTGACGGTCAGACCTGGACCAGGAGCAGAAGAGCCTCGGGGGAGACCCGGCATCCGGCAGAAACGAACACACCCCACAGCTGAGCAGCTGTGTCTTCTCACGTACAGACAGCAGTGCCACCCGGAGTGGGAGCCAGCGTCATGGGGAGGTCTCCCCCAGGTCATACTCAGGGCAGGAGCTGCCCTGTTCCCAACAGGGTTGTCCTCTGAAATCTGAAATTCCGTGTTGGGGGGAGGGAGGAGTGGGGCAAGGGTGGGAGGGAAGGTGCACATCATGGTTCACTTAGCGGACCAGTCTGGGAGACTTGGCTTCGGCCAAAGCCCTCGATTCGCTGTGTCAGAAAAGTCGAGGAGAAAAAGAACACAACACTCTCACAGCAGGAAAACTGAATTAACAAGAATCAGAAAGACACCACACCAGCCACGTGTGGACACAGGCTCTACTGTCAAGAAACCAAGGTGAAGAGGGAAAGGGGCAGAGTGCAGAGTGGCCCCACGGGGCCAGCGTGATGGGAACAGGACGTTCCCCTAGACCCAAGGAACAGGTGCTCCAAATCCAAAAACCGTGAAAGGAAGCCTGGCCTCACTCGCTCCAGAAGCTTCTATTACCTCAACCAGACCTGCACTTTCTCTTCTACCTGTGCCCACCCTCCAACTCACCTTTCATCTTCCAAACCTGCCTCCTCCCTCTGCTTTCCAGGTCTCCAACCTGGCAGATGGCTGGCTATCTCCCAGCCAGCGCCAGAGTGGGGACCGTAAATGGACGCAGAGGGCGTGGGCTTCTCCCCCTCTTCAGGGATTCTTACGTTGCGATTCTGACTCACCGCTGCTACAACCAACATCGACAACTTTCGTCTAGACCCTAGGTAGACAAAGCCGCGCGTCAGGGAGGGGCAGGAAGCCACTAAGTATTGAGTGTCGACGGTCACAATCCCCACTGCAGGCCGACCGGGCACAATCAGAAAGGATGGGGCCTCTAGGGCCAAGAGAAGCCCATCAACAAGACAGAAACAGACAGCACGTCCCTGCTACCACCCCACGGGCACTCTGGGTCAGACTGGAGGATGAAAACCCCGCCAGCCCCCACTGAGTTTCTTTTCGCCAGCCCACACGTCTGTGCTTTAAAGGGCTCTAGGGCCCCCAGGGAAGCCGAGGCCCATGTGGCCGGAGACAGGGCCAGCACCACAGGCAGCTCCTATCCCATGGCGAGGAGGGGCTTCCGGAGGCCGGTCTGGAAGACTAGCTGCCTCTGCAGAGGGGCCCTGGGCGGGGGGCTCAGCCCCGGAGACCAGCACCTCCACGAGCTACGCAGCACGTCCCTGGAAGACACAGATCCCAAAGGAGGCAAAAGAAGGCCCAAGGCCACGAGCAGGAGCGTGGCGCCTGCAGACCACAGCCCTTGTCTGGCGCCGCTGGAGACGCCCACCCCAGCCCTCGGGCAGGGAGAAAGGCCGCCCCGGATGAGCCCCAAGACCACCTGGCTTAGCCTGGGAAGCATTCCTTCACGGCGGGGAAGCACTGCTGGGCTAGGTGGGCAGCAGGCCTAGAAACTCCTATGTGGGCCCTGGGGTTCCCGACGAGGCCCACGGGAAGCCTATGGGGACAAAGCTGGGATCAGCGGCCAGAGCCCACAGGTGCTGACTGGAGGCCAAAAGGAAGACACATGGGGGCACCTCGTGACTCTGTGGTCCCCCGCAAACCCGCCAGCCATGGTCAGCGGCGGTAGGTGTGGAAGCAGTGGGGGGGGCAGGTGCTCTGGGACGGCCCCTTGTTTCACCTACCCTGCCACTGGGTTAACCCAAGCCTTACACAGACATGCGAAGCCCACGCTGTGTGGGGTGAGAGCGGCAGAGCCCCGTGTCTGGTCCCCAGAGGTCCCGGGTCAGGCACTGAGGCAGAGGGGGCTGGACTGGTGGGCAGATCCCCAAGGCCTGCCGGAGCCGGAGCTGCCCAGCACCCCTGTCCAGGTCCAGGCCCAGCAAGCCAGCAGAAGCAAGAACACAACCAAATCCAAAAAACAAACACGGGATCAAGAGACACAAGAAATGACACCCACAGGTCAAAGGTCACCAGAAGCACCAGCACGTGACGCGGCACAAGACCTCACCAGGCACAGACAACACCACGGCACCGGCAAGAGACGGAAGCAGGAAGGGCAAAGGAGTAAGTCACTTTCGGTACAATTGCAAAAGAGATAGCAAAGAGGACGCCAGGACGCACCTGTGGTCGCTCACGGCTTGGCTTTTTTTTTTTTTTTATCTTTTTTAAAACTAAGTTTTATAAATAACGTCTGATAACTCTGTGTATATAAAAACTAAACTCCAACAGCCACAAAGACTTGTCCATAAGTTTACAAGAAAGGGATTTTTTTTTGTTTTTTTCTTTTGTTAAACTAGCAAAGTTTCTATTATACTTTCCTTCCTTGTCCATATATACGGTCAAATGTTCTTGCTTGGTTTTTGTTTTTTTTTTTAAAAAGACAGTTTTATAAATACTCTGCAGCTCTTTTTTCTTTAGCTTTTAAACATATAATTTAATAACTTCGTAAAAGGAACTCCTCTCTTTTAAATAAAGGGCTATGTAACCACACAAACAGGTCATGTAAACAGTGGCACGGGACCCATCGCAGGACACTGGACACACCCTTCACGTATGTTCACAACCAGTGATTTGGTCTTGTTCAGTGCAACGCGTCAGGCTCGACCGCCCTGGCCCCTGGCGCAAAGCCGCGGAACGCCCCATCCCTCCCAGCGCCTACAGCGCCCAGGCTAGTGGCCCACCCGTCCAGGGCCCTCAGGGACACCCTACTCCTAGGAGCAGAGCCCATCTGTGCCTGTGGCCGCACTAAGAGTGAATCACAGCCCCCGGCCAGCCAGCAGCCGTCGGAGCCCGCGGGCCACCCAGGAGTGGACAGCAGCCTCCCCTTGCCCTGGGGCCCTCCCTGCTCTAACACCCGAGCCCCAGAACGCTCATTCGATCTTTCTCTGTTCCCACAGGGCCAACTCTGGACGCCAAGCCTGCACCGCCTTGGTACAAAGGGGACTGGGGGGCAACCCCACGTCACCGCCGAACTGACCAATCCCAACACACAAAACACACGATGACGACGACGAGATCAAAGGGGCTCAGCCCGGCGCCCCTGGGGTGCGGGTTGTGCTTTGCAGGGAAGGGAGGAGGCAGGAGAGGACGAGGAGGAGAGGAGAAAGAAGGGGACAGGGCTGCCAAACTCGCCATGCGCCTAATGGCCCCTTGCAGACCCGCCCGGGCAAGCGCGCGTCCCTACGACCGGGCGTCCGTCTTGGACTTTACTATCGTAATGACGCTGGTGGCGGCCACCTTGCCGGGGACAAGGGGCCCCAAGCCGGCAGCGAGGGGGCCCCGGGCCGGCGCCACAGGGCTGCGTGCCACAGTCCTGGCGAAGTTCTGCAGGGCCTCGTACTTGGCGCGCAGCGCGTCGAGCTCCAGCTTCATGCTGGCGTTCTCTGAGGCCAGCTTCTCCACCTCCTGCTGCAGCTCCGCCTTCTGCTTCTCCAGCTCCTCCTTCTGCGTCACGCGCTTGACGCGGCAGCTGGCCGCGTAGCCCCGGTTCTTGAGCGTGCGCCGCCGCTGCTTCAGCTGGACGATCTCCTCCTTGGACAGGCCCCGCAGGTGCTGGTTCAGCTCCCGCACCGACATGGTCACCAGCTCTTCGTCCGTCAGGCTGGTGCCATTCTCACCCGGCTCCCGCTTCACCTGCCGGTGGGACTGCGAGTGAGGCCCAGGCTCCGTGGGGACCGCCCACCCCTGCGCCGCCCACTGTCCGCTCACCTTCAAGGCCTTGTTTCCTTTATTGGGGGTCGTCATAACCCGGGGGCACGGCAAGCAGGCACTCTGCGAGACAGGGAGCGGAGGTCAGGACCCTGGGGACCGCTCCCCTCTCCCTCTCCCCGCGGCACAGAGCCGAGGGAAGGGGCACAGTCCCAGTCTCACCCCTCACCTCACCATTCCCAGTACCTGGCCCGGAGGACCACCTGCCACCCTCTGGCTGGGCTGGTCCCCGGCCACCTTGTTCCTAGGAAACCCAGTGGGTCTGATGGGGGAAGGGGGACAGAAGGCTAAGTTAGGAAGGCAGCAACCAGAAAAGGGCCTTGGGAAGAGATGAGAGGGATGCGGGAAGGGCCAGCCTAGAAGGAAGCCGGGAGCTTTAAAAATAACCCCAGTGTGCGCCCCAGAGCATGGCTGTTCCTGGCGAGTCACGCTGACTCAGCACATCGCTCCCGCTCCTGCTCCCTCACCAGCCCGGCCTGGCACTCCCCAAGGCTGCCAGCCAACACAGCCCCAGGGGACCCAAGGCCTAAGCAGAGCACTGCTGGGGCCAGAAAGGCCAGCCTGGCCAACAGCAGGTGCGGGCTGGGCCCAGTGACCCTGCAGCTGTGTACTCGGGGCCCAACCTCCTACAGCCACCTCCCCTTAGCTGGCCCTGTCCCCACAAAGGCTTAGGGGCCGGTGGGGACTTGGGCCAAGAGAAGGATGCAGGACAGTCCTGATTCTCCCACAGACTTTTCACTTTGAAGAGCTCGACTGTTTCCAGCATTGGTGGGAGCACCCCCCTACCCCCAGGTGGCAGGCGCCCCAGGAGAGGCTGGGCTCAGCCCTCTCCGCTGCTGATGGAGCAACCTTCCTGTGGCTTTGGATTGCCGCATCTGGTGCCCCTGCCCCACCCCAGCCACGCTGTTTCCTAAGAGGGCCCGCCGGGCCACCCAGGGGCCCTGCTCAGGCCCCTCCAGCCCCAGCTCCCTGCCGGGGGTCACTGTCCACAGCATAGGGAACAACAACACAAGGGCTTGGGGGAGGGGTGGACCAAAGGGTCCCTCGCACCCATTCAGTTGCCCTTCCCACACCCGGCCCTCGCTGTCTGCTTCCTTGAGCCCTGCCAAGGACATTTCTGTGCACCTAATCCAGCAAATACGGCTCAGCCTGCCCCCACCAAAGCTTCAGGCAAGCACACTCCCTCCCAGCCCCCTGCTTTCCAGGTCAGGCTGGAGGGAAAGCAGACCCCGGCCTCCTGCTGCAGGAGGCGAGAGCACAGCACGCAATTCTGGGCGGTGGCAGCGGTGTGGGGGCTTGTGACCCTCGATGGGGAGGTAAAGCACGGCTTAGGGAGGTGGAGGCGCGCAAGGTGGCTCCAGGGCAGGGCTGCCACTCATCCCTCCTCAGCCCAGGGCTCTCAGGCCGCGCCACACAGCACCAGATGGAGCAGACAGAAGCTAGAGGTCAGAAGGTCCTGAGGGCCCCAAACCCACCCCGGGGGACAGGATCTCATGGCTGAGCTGCCGGGGCTCCCCCAGCCTCAAGTCTGAGTTGGGGTGCAGGGACACTCCCCGTGGTCCTTCCATTGTCAGCCCAAAGGAAAAGCCCTGGCACCAGTTTTTCCCACCAGCCATCCTCCCTCCGCCCCCGAATGCTGAGCACAACGGTGACTTCCTGAGATCACACAGAAGAGTGCGGAGCGTGGCGGCTGGGAGCCGAAAAGTGCCTCCTCGGCAGTTCTCACCCTCCGCAGAAGGCCTGAACTCAGCACAAGTGCAGCCACTCGCCTCCTAATCAAAAGGTGCAGGGGGCGCGTGCCCGCCATAGGGGAGGGGCAGGGCTCAGCAAAGCCAGGGCTTCGGCCTCCGCACCTGGCCTCTGCCCACTGGGGAACACACACAGATGCGACGGTGACAGGCTTAGGGGAGGGGCTGTGGGACACAGCTCAGGGCACCTCGGGAAGCCAGAAGGAGGGTGTCCAGGAGGCTGGATTAAGAACAGGCTCCTTCTCTCCACCCCAAAGAGGGTCCAGGGCTGGGCCCCAAGGATCCTTCCCCAGTCACCTTCCCCTGAGGGTGAGCCACACTTGTAGATAAGACACGGACCATCCCCCGCGGGCGACCCACTCAGGCTGACAGCCAGCTGGGAAGGGAAAACTGGTTTCGACAGCTCCATGCCCTGTACCTGGGGCAGGCTCTAGATGCACACGCTGGGCAAGAGCCCGCTCCTTCCCCGGCCTTCCTTCCACCCTGCCTGACAGAACCACCTCCTCCCAAACCCCTGAGCCACTGCAAGCCTTTCTGAAGAGTCAAAAACTTAATCTGTACCTAAGAACAAACGAGAAGACGTAAAGAAGTACCCCCTTCAGGAATCTGCACTTTCCTAGGGTGTAAAAGTTGACCCAGAGATCAGCTGAGTTCAAGATCTGGCACGTATAAGCCCAAGGCTAAGTGTGTGTGAGCGCGTGTGTGCTGGGGCAAAGGGGCATCCCAGAAGACAAACCACAAGGCCAGCCTGACCCAGCCACGAAACCCTAGGCAAGAATGGTCAGCTCTGGTCGAGACAAAACGCCCCAACCCCTGGAGGCCAGGAACCACCCACACATTGAGGAAAGGTCAGGCCGCGCCACCCTCAGGCTGTCACCCCCCAAGAGGCCCAACACCCACCAGGGAGGGCCACAAGCTTTGCTGACACCCACACAGCACCAAGCCCCAACCTCAAGTAGGACAACTCTAGGGTGATCGGGAACTGCCGTCTTCCGCTCCATGCCTTCCACACCAGCCCACCGGCTGTGCCCCCAAAGGCCACAGCCACCACCTGCAGCTCTGCCCCACACCCCAGGGCCAGGCAGCAAAAGGGGCAAGGCCTGCTCACCAGACACCTCGCTCTCCAGATGTCAAAGTCCTGCTGCTTCCTCTCATTGGCAGTTTCCTGGTACGGCGGCACCTGCTTCCCCTGCCCTGTCCACTGTCCTCCAGGACTTGAGCACAGGCACCCCTCTTTCTCCCACTGACTCCCTCTCTGGCCAGGGGGTATGCCTCTTTTGCGCTCCCAGGGGCTGCCCAGCCTAGCCAACCAGACCAGCCACAGGGAAAGCCTGCTTCCCAGCCTGGCAAGCACGGCCCCCCTAAGCTCCTCCCCTCCTCTCACTCAGAGAACTATTTCCCAGTTTGGGGAACTGTCCCAGACGCTGGTCAGGGACCGGCTGCCTGAGAAGAGCCTGCCTGGGAGGGGATGGACAGGCTGGCGGCTGCACATTCTGCCGGCAAAGAACACCTGCACCAGGGCCCCCCCCTTCTCCTCACGCCCCTGCCTTCAACTCGCACACCAGCCCTAACCTGAACGGGTGCCCCAGCCCCAGGGGCCTGGCCCTTCCCCAGTTTCCCTCCTCCTCTATGTGTCGGCCTTTCGGACCCCAGGCCCCTAGCTCAAACCCGCCCCCCCCCCCAGACATCAGAATGAGCATCGAGTGACCTCATGCTGATGACTCAGCAAGTCTCCCTCTGGGCTCTGGCACGCGTGCGGCGGAGCGAAGCCGGCGCGAGCAGGGTCTTCCCAGCCCCGCCACGTGCCGCCCCCTCCCCCCAGGCCCGCCGAGGACCCCTGCGCCCGGGGAGGCGGACACAGACACCTGATGAATCAGCAGCTAGACCCGGGGCCCCCGAGGCTCTTCCGCCGAGCCCTAGGCGCCCCGCTCGACCCCACCCTTTCCTCCCGCCACCGCGGCCGCCCCTCCCACCAGGACGCCCGGGGCTCCGCCGAGCGAGCCCCGCGGACGCCCCGCCCCGCCCTCCTCCGTCCCCCGCGACCCACCCCAGCACCCCGGGCGCGAGGGCCAGGAGCCGCCGCCAACTCGCGGGGAAACCGAGGCACGGGCCGCCCGGAGGGCGCGGGGCAGACCCGCAGCCGGGAGCGCGCGGCCCGCACCGCCCCCAGCCCGCCCGGAGGAGCCGCGGCCCCGCCCGCCCCCCGCCGCCACCCCGCGGCCCGGAGCCCCCCGCCCGCCCGGCCGCCCGCCGCCGCACTCACCCACCACACTGCGGGCCCGGGCGGGCCGAGGCCGGGGCGGGCGGGCGGGCGCTGCGAGGCCGCGCGGGGGCTCCGGGCCCGGGGTGGGGGCTCTTCGCCTGCGCGGGCCGGGCCGAGCGCGCTGGGAAGGCCGGGCCGGACCAGGCTCGGGATCCGCCGCCGCCGCCGCCGCCGCCGCTCCACAGACGTCACATGATGTTTGGTCACGTGGGCTCCATTCATGAAGCGGCGACGCGGCCGCCGGGGCTTAAAGGGGAAGCGGCGGCGGCGGCGGCGGCGGCGGCGGCGGCGGCGGGGCGTGTCCGCACTGCGCCTGCGCGCCCGGAGCCGGCCGGGGACGCTGCGCGCCGCTCCCGGCCCCCGCGGGACCCGCCCGGGCCGGGAGTCTGGGGGCCCGGGGGGAGGGCCGGGGGGCCCGTGTCCCGCTCTCCTGACCCGCGGGACCGCGTCCCGCTCTCCTGACCCGCGGGACCGCTGCGGCCCTGAGGACCCGCGCGTCGCGGGCACGGTCCCCGAGGCGCTTCCGAGGCTGCTCGGCGGGCGCAGCGCCGTCCCCCCTCACCCGCGCATTCCCGGACCCGCCTCGGCCCTGCCGGGCAGCCGGGGCCGGTTCGCAGACGACCCGACAGCCTTGTCCAGGGTTCACAGTGAGGTCCGGCCGCGGCCACCTGCGAGGGCTGCGGGGTGTCCCCACCCACCGCCCCCAGACCTCACGTTAGCGACGAGCCCTGTCGCAGCTCGCGGGACTGCCCCGAAAACATTGGTCAGAGAGTTGCACCCACCGCACCTGTCTAGGACCCCGTCCCTTTGGGCCGAGTCCGCTCCTGCCCCTGCTGTGAGGACTTCTCGCTGCTGCTCAGAATTCCGGGAGAAAGAGGCAACAAGGGGAAGAAGGGACACCGGAGGGATCCCATTTCCAAGTCCTGGAACAGGTATAGAGCCAGGAAGAGCGACTCACCCTTCGAGGCAGGTCGGTGGGACTCAGGTGAGCTGGCCGAGGGGCGGTGAGGGACAGGCGGCAGCACACCCCCCCACCCCCCCACCCCCGTCTCTGCGGGAATTCAGTGCCACCGACTGACGAAGGCCATCGGCAGAGGACCGGGAAGCCAGGGACGGGACCCCCTGCCTGCCTCCAGGATCTCCTCTCTGAATCCCACCGTGCCTTGTACCCCGCCTGCTTTGTAGGGTTGTGCGTGGTGGTCTACCTGGAGGGGGTCTTTAAGGGTAGAGAACCACACTGTACTCCAGGGCCTTAATATATCTGGGGCATGACTCTTGGGTTTTTTTGTTTGTTTGTTTGTTTGTTTTTTAAGATTTTATTTGTAGGAACGTCTGGGTGGCTCCATCCGTGAAGCATCTGCCTTCGGCTCACGTCACGATCCTGGGGTCCTCGGATCAAGCCCCACATCAGGCTCCCTGCTCAGTGTGGGGTCTGCTTCTCCCTCTGCCTGCCGCTCCCTTTTGCTTGTGCTCTCTCTCTCTTGCTCGCTCACTCTGTCTCTCTCAAAATCTTTTTAAAAAGTTAAAGATTTTATTTGTAAGTGATTTTAACACCCAAGGTGGGGCTTGAACTCACAACCCCAAGATTGCTTGCTCTAGTGACTAAGCCAGCCAGGTGCCCCAGGGGCATGACTTTTAAAATCAGTTAAATACACAGAACAACAAGGCTTGCCCCTGAGGACGAAAATGCACTCCTGTGGGCTCCAGCTCCTCCAGCCTCCTCTCCGCCACCACCAGCTCCGTTCTCCTGGTCACACTTGGTAGGGAGGTAGGGCCTGACTTACTGCTGGGCCTTGAGAGCCACTCCAGGCAGGTCATGGGGTTGGCTTGGTGCAACACGGCTCAGGCTGGAACCATGACACCATCAGGAAACACAGGTGATTGACCCTGGGTCTGGGGACCGGCCGCTTTGTTGGAGGCTCGCTGGCTAGTTTTCTCATGCCCCCACACCCCCAACTCCTCAGTCCTCACACGATGGGGCCTGGCTGCAGTTTATACATGGCAGGTGACTGAGAGGCTGACTTACCCATCGTGCTGCTGCCTGCTCCTTCTCCCCAAGGAGGCTTCTACTCTCGGCAAGGTGTCTCCTCCTCCCCACTGGGAACACACCCAGCCACTTGGAAGAGGGGACAGGCAGGCGGGAGGTTGTGCCTACCCAGGGCCACCAGAGAGGTTTATGGGAAGTGCACTGGGGCCCAGTTCACCTGGAGGCCAGTGAGAGTGCAGATGTGAGACCCACTTCCCGCTTACAGGTGGCCCTGGGCCCTAAGGTCAGCCCTCTGGACATGCGATGGGGGGGGAGGTGCTGGGCTGCCTACCTTCTCATCTCTGGGACCTGTGGGGAGAGGAATGTTCCAGACCGTCCAGGCTCCTTTGCTGCCCTCTCACCCCACTCTTCTGCAGAGGTGTGGAGAATTTGCAAACAAGGTCCCGATCCGCTGCAGTCACTGACAGCGGTTGGTTTGCACGTCTGGGGGAGGGCATCAGGGATGAGGTTGTGCCCTGTCCAAACACCCAGAGAGCCTAGCCTTCAGGATCTGTCTCTGGGTCCAGCTAGAGAGCCCTGGAGAGTCCTTGGTTGGTCTCACCTGCCCCAAGTCTGGCTGGCCCCCACCCAAGGCCCAGGACATCCGTCTCTGGGAATAACACTGCAGCCACACTGGGGAGTGACACCAGAAAGTGACAGGTCCACAGGCTCCAGCATCCCTGCCGGTCCACAAGCATCACCATGACTGGCTTCTGGGGCTGCCTCGGTGGGCAGACGCTGAGACCCAGCTCTCTGGTCCAGCCTGCCCTTCCCCGGGCTTCCCGCTGCAGCCTGCACATGCCCTCCTGCTGACCCCTCCCAGGTGTCCCCCTTCTGCTCGCACCCTCCACAGGCGGATCTGGGGACCCCACTGGGTTCTCCTGGAGTTCAGCAGGCCCCAACCTGACATTGCAAGGAGGCTCAGGACACAAGGACTAGCCCTTCTTCCACGGGGGTCCAGGCAGGGAGATGGGCCCACGTGAGGGCCCTCCCAGGATGTACTTCTTCCTTCTCTGTCTGGCCAAGGGCTGCCGACTTGTTTGTTCTGGAGCCTGAATCCAGCTCACTTGGGGGCCACAGGACAGGGGTCAGCCTGCTACAGGAAAGGACTGGCAAGGAGAAGCAGGGCAAAGATCCCATCCAGGCAGGCAGGAGCCTAGGGCAAAGTTAGGCTATTAACTAATTTCCAATTAGGAAACTGAGGCAGAAGCAGACGGGTCAAGCAGACGGAGCTGGTTCTTCCACTGGATTCACCCAGCCCACTGGGCAACAGGCAGTTCATTCCAGCCACTGCCCCATTTGGGGACATCCAGGGCATGGCAGGTGTCAGAGCTGGCAGTGACAGGAGCCAGGAAGGCATACCAAACTGACCCTTGCCAGTGGGACCCCCGTGATGGCTTCTCTAGATGGTAACATTGCAATGCCTCCCAGCTGGCATCTGGGGGCCCCTGGCCCTTGAAGCCCATCTCTGTCCTTGGCCTGCCCTGGACCCATGTGAAACAGGTCCCTGCTCCCCATGGGGCTGTGCTTATGGTTACAGTGTCTGGGTATCTGTCCCCGTAAGACCCTCAGGCCTTGTTCACCTCTGCAGCCTTCTTGCCTGGCTCACTCCCCTTCTGCCAGCTCCACTGGGCTTCCCCATTTCCCCACCGGCAGGACGCTGGCTTGATCCAAAACCACGTGAGCCTGAGAGCTCACGTCCCCTCTGCCGAGACCCAGGACATTCTTTGTGGGGCGGAGTAAAGCCTCCACACACAGCTTTTCTGGACCTGAGCTTCCTCCGATGCCACCACGTGCCTCTTCCACACTTCAGACCCACCTGCTCACTCTCCTAGAGCCAGAGCATGTGTGGGAACCGCGTGCCCCCTTGTGTATCGCCGGCGAGTGATGAGACCAGCCATGACTTGAAGGGAGTGGCCAGGGGCCAGCCTGGGTCCTGGTCAGACCTGTAGCCTGTCCTCTTCTGGGAACGTTTTTCCCCAGGGAGAGGGTGCCGAGGTGCTGTCAGAGAAGTGATTCTGGCTGCCTCAGGCCCACCTCTGCCCCCACACAGGAGGGGGACGCAGACGCCCCAGGCCCAGACACGTGCACATCTACTGGTCCGAGTCTCTGGAGAGCCCTGATATACCTCCCTGGGGGTTCCTTCTTCACCCGCCCCTGCCTGTGTGAGGTGAAGAGATGTGTGCCCCGGTAAGCTTGGAGGTGCTGGGGGTACAGAGGCTGCCGCCCCCCTGCAGAGGGGCACGCCGGGCTGGGCCACTGGGGCCGGCATCTGATCTCGCCTCTAGGGCTGAGGCGCAAAGCCCCACACCCTTCCCCAGGAGCTCCCTCTACCTTCCCTCGCTGGGATCCGAGACAACCTGGTTGTCCCCTGCAACCAGAACGCCTTACCAAACAGGGCTCCAGGACCCGTGCGATGCGCGTAGCAGGCGGCGACTAAGAGGACACTCGACAAGGTCCCTCTAGGGACACTGGGGCCCTTCCTCCACATGTGGGGATGAAGTTAGAAACAAGGCACCAGGTTGGGAACCAATGTATTTCACCCAAAAGGTTGAGAAGGGACAGACTGTAAGCTCGGCGGGGAACGGGACACACAGATCTCAGAATCTGGGACTATCCAAGGAGCCCTTTTCTCACACGCAGAACGGCGATTCAGGGGACTTGCAGCTGTGGTCCTGGCTGCTGGACTTGGGACACTTGAGATCTTCTGGTCCTTCTCACAATGAGGAGGCATCGCCCCAAGTAGAGACTGGAGAAGGGGCAGGACGGGGTTCCCTCCTCGGCTGGGCCTCGGTGGGAGTGGGGGTTCCGGGGGGGAACCTTGACCTTTGTACTCAGGAAGGGGTCAAGCCCCAAGTCGGCTGACCATGGGGAGTTTAGGCCCCCAGGCCTCCTGAACTCCAGAAGAGGTCCCGACCCAGTCTGGGGGCAGAGGAAGGGGGACACTGAGGTCGGAGAATCCATCTGTTCCGGGCCAGGAAGCACTTAGTGACCACACAACTTCCCGCTGGGAAGCGACGCAGCCCCTCCCTGGTTACAACCCCTGCTGACCTGAGCTGACCCGAGTGGCAGGCTGCTGTGGGGACACCCTGTGTGGCCTGGGGCTAAAGACAGCCAGCACAGGGGCGCCAAGCCCAGCAGGGAGGAGGAGGCGGAGAGCAGCCTGGTGAGCGTGCTGGCCACCTCAGCTCTCCTTGCCCGCTGGGGCCAGGCTTTGGGGGAACGGCGTGGAGTGGCCAGAAGGGCTCTGGGAGTGCCCCACACAGGACTCCAGCTTCACCTTGTCCAGGACGGTCTTTTTGATGGAGGCTGGCGAGACCTTCTCCTGGTCGGCCACGGACTGCAGCTCCCTGGGGAGGCAGCGAGGAGGGTTAGCTGCAGGCCGTGCCTCCATCCTGCGCCCAACTGTTCACCAGGGAAGAGGAAGCCCCCGACGGCCTGGGCGCTGCTGTGCTGTCTCCCATCTCAGCTCCCTAGGCGGCCCCTGCCCCCAGACGGCCAGCTGCCTGCCTCCTACTGACTCAGATCAGCTCAGGGTCACCAAACCTACTAGCAGCCCCTCAGCCCCTAAACCCATCCTTGCCCCAAGCAGGGGCCATATGCCTTGTCCGTATCCCCTGAAGGTTGGGGCCAGAGGGTAGCACTGCCTCCCAGCCTCGCTGTCAGGTCGTGGCGCTCAGAGACATTCTGGGCTTCACTGGGGGGCGGGCAGGGATGTGAGAGACATGCCTGTCCATCCTGCAGACCTGAGCTCCAAGCCAAGTCCCCACATACTGCTGTCCCTCCTCTTTGGTTTCCTTTCTGCCGTCACCCGCTGGCGTCACCCCGCTGATGCAAACGCACAGTGGAGCGCCCTTCCAGCTGACCTGCCGAGTCTCCCCAGAAGGGGGTGGGCGGGAGGAGGGTGTGACCTGGGCCCCAGGAGATCCCTCTGGTTCCCACTGGCCTGCCTCCCCAGCCTGGATGGTCACCCTGGTCTGCAGGCTCAAGTGGTGACCCCCCGTGGGGAGCGCTGCACGGTCCCGGAGGGCAGCCCGTCTCCACAGGACAACGGGTGCCTGGGTACTACTACCAGCCATGACCCTCGGGCGCTGCTGCCAGGCCTCAGTAAATGTGTGCTCGGGGAAAGGCTGAGCAGAACACGTGAGGGCTCTGGCGGGCCGGGACGTGCAGCCAGGAGCAGGCAGCCTCGGGGGGCCCACCGTGTGCGGACGCAGGAGGCCTCCACAGCGTTGATGAGGAGGGAGCGGAAGCCCCCGCTCTCCAGGACGTGCAAGGCGTGGATGGTGGCCCCGCCGGGAGAGCAGACGTTGTCCCTCAGCTGGCCTGGGTGCTGTTCCGAGTCCAGCAGCATCTTGGAGGCCCCCTGCACCGGAGAGAGCCGCTGACCGCTGCAGGGCACCTCTCCTGCCTGCAGGCCACTGTCCCCAGCACCCGCTGACTGTCCCCTGTCCGCCCACCACAACGGCGTCAGGCCCGGCACGGAGCAGCCCTCAGCAAAGCATCGGAAAAAGCACTGACCAGCAGAGCCTGGGCTCCGAGGCGGACTGCCAAGCGCCGGGGCAGCCCCATCTTCACACCCCCATCTGCCAGGGCCTCCAGGGCTGTGAATGCCTGCAGGGAGAAGGCGCCTAAGCCATTGCCCCAGGCCCTTCCTCCTCCTCCTCCTCCAGGTGTTGGTGTTGCCTGGTAGCTCCGCCCACAGCAGCCAGGGCAGGGAGGAGGAAGGAGGATGTGCCCCAGGTCCTGCGAACAGTCCGCCACCACCCGGTCTGCCACCACCCGTGGCCACCCAGCCCCAGTCCTCACATAGGCTGGGCCGCTGCCGCTGAGCCCGGTGACGGCATCGATCAGGTCCTCCTCCACCTCCGTGCAGAAGCCCACGCTACCCATCAGCTGCTCCAGGAGCCGGCCATCCTCCACCTGGGCGTGGGTGCCCGTGGCATACACAGTGGCCCCCTCCCGCACCACAACCGGGGTATTGGTCATGCAGCGGATAACTTTGGGGGCCGGCTGGAATGCCATCAGTTTCTGGAGGGGACAGTGGCTGTGTATGAGTGGCCCCTTGCCCAGCAGGGTGTGCTTGGCCTCAGGGAACGCACTCGCCCAACCAAGCACTTCCTGGCTTCTCACTGAGGGCAAGGCCAACCGGCCATTTCTCAGCCAGAGTTCCCAAACACAGCACAGAGCATGCTTCTACCCTCTTCTCAGACCCCACCGGCCTGCACCCACAATGCTCACCTTCTCGATGGAGCTGATGGTGACCCCAGCGGCACAGGACACCACGATGTGCCGACCCTCCATGTCGGCACCGATCTCGTCCAGGATAAAGGGGATGATGTGCGGCTTGACGGCCAGGAAGAGCACGTCACTGTGCCGCACAGTCTCCTTGTTGTGGGGAGTCAGGTTCACTCCCATCTTCTGCAGGGAGCGCCAACGGGGGCTCAGCCTGCCAACATGGCTGGCTGGGCCCCCTCGTACCCTCCCCAAGCTGAGAGCCCCGGGCATAGAAGAGGATGGAGGTTGCTGAGAACAGGGACAGTCTGGGTAGGGGCTCAGGGCACGGAGCTCTGACAGCCCCCAGTCACCCTTCCCACCCTGAAGCCCAAGCTCTCTGCGCTGGTATATGACCCTTTTGGAAACAGAAAACTGATGAGTACCCACGCCACAGCCCTGATGCACCCCATCATGGGCGGCAGGCCTCCAGAGGTGAGTGGCATTATGGGTGCGCAGGCTCCCAGCTTGAGGTCTGGAGCCCTAACTCAGCTGTGGCAAACCAAACCTGTATTCAGTCCCCAGATGGGTCCGACCTGGCCCCAACTCTGTGGTCTCATTGCTGGGCTCCCACTGTCCCTGTGGAGGCTCCGTTTGGGGAACCCCATTCCAGTCCAGCACACCCTCCCCACCAGCTGCACATGTGCCTGTCCCCAGGTTCTAGGAGCTGAGCAAGGGCAGCTACCAGCAGGCCAGCAGGCAGGTCTGTGGGGTGCTACAGCCCAGGGCCCTCCTCTCCTGGGAAGGGGGGTGGTGGTCCCATAGTGTCTCTCACTAGGACCTTTACACCTGGGGCCCTCAGGGTCAAGGCTATCACATGTTCTCCCCAGACACAGTGACTTAGCCCCTTCAGGGACCACCTCCCCATCCCTGTCCACCCTGCACCTACCCTGAGGGCAGAAACCGTGGCCAGGTCCATGTCTGGTGAGCTGGCGGTGATCTTGTGGGCAGCCAGGATGCCTGCGGGTAACAGAGATCCTTCCTCAAGGTCTATCCTGTCCTCCCCTCTTCACGTTCACGGGAAGGAAAGTGGAAATCCCACCCCCAGAGTAAGACAGCAACTCCTGCCCCACCCCCAACCACCCCAAGGCTGCCATCTCCCCCAGAACTCAAACAGAGCAAGTTTTCCAGACCCGTCCTTTCACCCCCAGGCCGGTGGAAGGGTAATGGCCCACCGCTCCCCAGACCACGGCGTCCGGGCTGCAGGGCCTACCTGCTGCCGTGAAGCCCCTGGCCAAGGCAAAGGCCAGCTGACCAGCTCCGATGAAGCCCACGCTCATGTTGTCGGAGGCGCCGCCCACAGCCCTCCCGGCGGGCACCGGCCCTGCAGGGGCAACTACGGGACGAGATGCGGCAGGACCCAGAGCAAGAAGTTGGGCGGGCGGTGCCAGGCCCGGCCCCTCGGCCGCTGGCCCGCGCCCATCCTCCCCCGCGCCCTCCCGCCCCGCTCCCACCGCCAGCGCAGCCGGCCCAAGTTTGCCCGAGGCCGCGCGCCGGCTGCGACGGCGGCGGCTCCAGTCCCCCGCCCGGACACTCCCGACGGCCCCCGACAGAGGACACGGCGAGCGGCGGGCCAGCCTCCGAAGCCGGAGAGCCGCGGGGGGCGACGGCTCGGAGCCCGGACGCCCTGCACGTCCGGGCCCCACGCCCACCCCAGGCCCTGACTGGGGCGCGCAGGCGCGCCTCCCACTGCCCCGCGCGCGCCCGCGCCCGACCCCTGCTGGGCGCCCACCCACTCACCCACCGACCGCGCGGGACGCCCGGGAGCCGCGGAGCCGCGCCCGCCACGCGGCACCCGAGCCCGTCGGCCCCGCCCCCGCCGCTCCAGCGAATTGGAGGCGCGGCCGCCAGGCGCTGGCCAATCGAGGGGCGCGGGAGGAGCCGGGGGGCGGTTGCATCATCCGCTCGCCCCGAGCCTCCGGCCCCACCGCCTCCCGGCCTCCCCGCGACCCCGGCTCCCGCCCCGTGTCCGCACCCCGAGACGGCGCGTGGGGCCTGAGCGCGCCGGGGCTGCGGCTCCACCGCGCGGGGCCTGGGAGTGGGCCGGGCGGATCCGCACACGGCGGGCTGGGGTCCTCAGCCGCGGGGCCCGGGCGCGCCGTTCCTTGAGCGAACTGGAGAAGCGCACTCTGTGTCCTCGCCTCTCCGCCCCTTTGTGCGCGTGCGTGCGAGCGTGCGGGAGGCTTGGAAGCAATTTGCGAAATGGAAACATTTAAAATGTAGCACTATCTTGATACTGTGTTTTGTAGCTTTAAAATTTATTTATTGTACCACGAAGCTTGAAAACTGGAGAGGATAGCCTAAGCCTTTACAGAATCTCAAAATCGGTGGGCGGGGTTGGGGTGGGGGGTGCACCTGGGAGGTCTAGATCGATCCCGCGTGAGATCCAGACCCTCTTTTTCCCAACTGGGGTTTTCTCTGCAGGTCTTTTTTTTTTTTTTAATTTTACTTATTTATTTGACAGACAGAAATCACAAGTAGGC